CCTTGTGCAACTTTCTGCTTCAGATGCAGCTCAAAAAGACTCCTGAAGTATGTGAATCCTTTCATGAGGTACCAGAGTACCATTGATTAAGTTACAATTACAGTCTAAAGGAAGAAAAAACCCTGTATTTTTTTACTTGATTCTGAGCTACATGCAACTAGCTCAAGAATGAGCTGAAGCATCAGCAGTCACAAATCTCTGTACCTCAACAATAGCAGAGGACACCTCCATAGCGTCTAAGTTATATACTGTGAATTAAAGGAAGGGTATGAACAGCATAACCAGGAACATATTTTTCACTGTGCACCAAACCATTAAATATTAATACAAAGTTATATTTGCAGATTTACCTTTGAGTAATTCCACTGATGACTATTTAAAAGCTGTATTTCCTTAAATAAGCCTTTGCTGACTTATGGCTTAGTCCCATCAGATTTTCCATGAATTTCCATGCTCCATGTGCACTTATTTAAGTAAAGAAATGTTCAAATGCTCAGAATTGACACCACTGGTGACCTCCCTGGGCAGCTCATTCCGACGTTTAACAACCATAAAGATATTCTCCCTGATGGACTACCTGAACCTCCCCTCTTGCAGCTTGAGGCTGTTTTCTCTTCTCCTGTCGCTTTCTGCCTGGAATAAGAGCATACAGCAAAACAAAACCTGCACTTAGCTAAGTCTATTTAAGCCTCCCAGATTAACTTGCTTTTCTTCATATTTGCTTATTTTAAAAATTACCATGCATAGTGTGTTTGAAAGTTAACAGTAACATTTCATACTGTCACAGGGTTATGATACACAAATTTAAAATATTTTAAACAGACGTGTGGAGAGCATGTGTGGAGAGCCGTAGTCTCTTCTTGAGCTTCCTTTACTCCAGGCTAAGCAACCCCAGCTCCCTCAGCTGCTCCTCACAGGACTTGTTCTCCAGACCGTACCTCAGCGCTGTTGCCCTTCTCTGTACACACTCCAGCTCCTCAATGTCCTTCTTAGAGTGACAGGCCCAGAGCTGAACTCAGCACTCGACGTGTGACCTCACCAGTGCCCAGCACAGGGTGACAATCACTGCCCTGGTCCTGCTGCCCACAATATTTCTGGTCAGGATGCCATTGACCTTCTTGGCCACCTGAGCACACTGCTGGATCATGTTCAATACCCCCAGGTCCTTTTCCACTGGGCAGCTTTCCAGCCTCTCTTCACCAAGACTGTGGGATTGCATGGAGGTGGGGCTGAAGTGCAGGACCCAGCACTTTGCTATGTTGAACCTCATGCAATCGGCTTTAGCCTGTCCAGATCCCTTTGCAGAGCCTTCTGACCCACCAGTAGATTGACACTCCTACCCAACATGTTGTCATCTGGCAACTGACTTGGGGCACTTGATCCTCTCCAGTTCATTAATCAAGATGTTAAACAGGACTGATCGCTGGGGCCCCAACACCAATCCCTTGGGAACCCCACTAGTGACAGGCCACCAACCAGATGTGCTACACCAAGGTGTGTGATCCCGTACTATAATACCTGCCCTTAGCTTTTACAGTCATTTTAAGTTTTACCTGTTGGTCTTCTAAAATGTTGCAGCATAGTACAGCAGCATATTATATTGGCTAGCAAAGTAAATACTCTCAAGTAAAATGAATATCCTAATTAATATGGTTGTGTAATCCTGAAAGAGGGTTTGAATTCTCTTACTGCAAATACTATTTTAGGATGAAAGTTGTGAGTTTCCTATTTACCCTCAATATTGTAATGAAATAAGGTGCTTAAATATTTTACCTTATTAGTTTTAATAGCTGAAAAAATATCTGGTTCTTTGTTTAATGAGAAGCAATAACCCGTTTGTCTCACAGGTGAATCTAACTGTAGATGGTTCATATGTTTGGTAACTAGGAAAGAGTCAATTGGCATTTTAACCTCAAGATTATTAATTTAAATTTAGACATCTCAAGGGCTACTGGTCACCTGAGTTTGAGACTTACAGAGTAATATATATACTGTCAGAAAAGCTAGTTTAGTGCAGAAGCAGCACTCTATGATAGCAGGCTCTCCTAAAGGAAGCTCCCAACTTAGACACTCTGCTAAGATCTGACAGACCATAGAGGTGCAAACCCTCACCTTCCAGATGAGACACGACATGTCACCAGATAGAGAAAGAGCAAAGATTTCCCTTGGTTGAAGTTACAAAATCTGGGGGAAAAAAAGAAGCATGATAGTGTTACTCCTTTGACTTCTTCTTAGCTGCCAAGTAGTTCTTGTTAAATGCCTTTCCCTTCTCCTGTCTTTCAAAAGCCTAGGCAGACAGGCCTTCCTACAAATCTTTTCCCCAAAACAAATATCCACAGGTGCTAAACTTGACTCAACCTGGAGCAGTAAAACCAGTTTTACATAAGTGTTGAAATAAATTTGTAATATCATTTTGGGTCTCCTAAATCAAATGGTGGAGCTCTTCCCCTTCCAGAGCACCCAGAGTCTCTTGTTTCTGCTATAAATAATTTTTCAAATATTTCAATTGTCTTTCCCACACAACAGTTGGGGAAACCCTCCTCGTTCACACATCTGTAAGTGAAGTCGAACCCTTCTGCAACCGAGGCAGAGCCCTTCCTTGCCTGAGAAGCAGTTTCCAACCTCCAGCTTCTAATCTCCCTGCTTCCCAGCCTCTGTGGTTTACGGCCCTGCTCCCCAGCGGGTTTCATTAGGCTGCGGAGTGTTAGGCAGCTAGGGGCCTGTGAAGTTGGATCCAATGCAAAGATGTGAGCTCAAGGGATGGAAAGGCCGGAGAGAAAAGCCACATTTTTTGTGCTCCATTGTGCAAAAGTTTGTATCCACTGTGCACGCTTGACATTCTAATTAATCTAGGAGATTCACAGATCCAGCAACTTTTAACTGGCAGCTTGAGTTAAGCCTGGAGAAGAGCCTGTGAGAATGCCTGGCTTAGCAAAACAGTCTAAAACACAAGTTGCTCTGTGTTCTGTGCATCATTAACCCTAAATACAATGTTCTCCATTGCAGCCTTGCCTTGCACCAGTGGCAAGGTGCTGCTTGCTGAAACACTAGCAACCCACTCAGTTACAGCTGTTAAAGTGAGAGTGGAAACATTCATAAGGAAAGGTGTGGTAGGGTGATAAGTGGCCCAAATGACACTCCAGACAACCAAGTATCTGAGCCAGAGATTTCTTTCATAGTGTCTATAGGAGCAAAATTATTTCTGCAGTATCAAATATGCCAGCATATACATTAAACTTTTTTTATTTTTTCTAAAGCCGAGTACTGCTCCATTTTTCTGCTTAATTAGCTGAAATTAACCAGGGAAAGTTAAAATGGGTGTGTGTTTTTTCAAGCCACTCAAGCCAGGTAGTGTCGTTGCCTGGCACGCAACCTGTTCAGGCAATAAGATTCAACATGTTTGCAACAAAAAAGACAAGAATGATTAAATGGAGTTGGAAAGTAGTAATTGTTCTCATTGCTTGAAGCAGACATTAAAAATAATTACAATTTGGCAATGGTATATTTGGATATAAACAGCCAGTGTCTCAAACACTCCTTGGGAGTAAAAGTTAACAAAAATGAAACACCTGTTCATATATCAGTGCTGCTGCAGTTTAGCAGCATGCAGCATTCCTGAAGCTGTTAAATACATGCATTATGCCAACACAAATTTGGCCACATGTTTACTTAAGTCCAACCATGTTTACTTATGGCCAACCTCTGGCAAAAATCAGATCAAGTTCTTACCTGGGGTTAATCAGACTGACAGTAAAATTATAAGAAAACTAAACATGACAAGTAATATTATGTAAATAACTATTGTTGTTGCAAAACAGAATGTTTAAAGGAAAAAAAAAAAATCCATGTTCTGACGGACAGAATGTATTGATTTATTTACATGGCTTCCAGCTGTGTGAATGGAGCAGCTCCCATGGATGGCTGGAACATGAAAGATGAAGTGAGTGAGCTGAGCTAAAGCAAGGTCTAAGTGAGCACTATTCTCATGGGCTGTATTCACAAGAGCCAAATCTGCAACCTGACTCAGGCTGGCTAATCCTGAGGGTGTGAGGGAGAGTATTTTGAGTAGTAAAAACATATGTGTTGAAGTTTTGCAGTTCAAGTCTTTTAACTCTGCTTTTCTCTTTTGTGGTTAAACTTCCAGAAAACATAAAATTGAAAATTGTATTTGTATTTACTCTGGCCATGGAAAGTAAAGGCTGAATTATAAATTATATCAAGACAGGTTTGGACTTTTCCTTATGAGAAGTTTAGAACTCTCATGTAAAAAAATCATCTAAGGGTTAAAGGATAAAGTAAAGGACTGCTGGCTCTGTGGCACTTTGAAGGATGCTTGGCAGAGTGTCTGCACAGGAGAAACCACACTGCAGTTTGTGATGCAAATGACTTCAGACAGATGTTGTTACTCTGCTCTCTGCTGTAGCTTCTCCTCCCTGCCTAGTGGGGCTTGTGCAGGGCACAGAGACCTGCATCCTGGCTGGCAAGCAGTAGCACACTTCCCAGAGTGAATTCTGTCAAGAGTCCCCCTTCTTTCGGAGGGCTGTAGTTTTGAGAACTCAGAACACATTTGTTTTTTCTTCCACAAAGTGGAAATACCAGACTGATTCTGTTATCCAATTTAGGGTGCAACCACAGAGATGGGAAAAAGACAAAGCATTTTCTCCCATGTCTCAGAAGATATAACCTTTATATAAAGTGCTTTAGTCAACAAATTGTTTCATTCAGAGTGAGAATGACATGCATAACCCAGTCCTAAACCTATCCCCCAACAGGCAAAGGTAATAAATAGAATCAACAGGCAAGCACCAGCATGCTACCCTTTAGACAGGGTAACAAATGGCTCCTGCTCCAAAATGGGCAAATCTGAATATCCCATACATCCCAAATACAGAGAGATCTCAGATTCATGCTCCAAATCAGAATGATTGCATGGTTGCACCTGCAGAGATAACCAGCAGTAAATAAAGAAGCATTCCATAAACAATCAAATCCATAACCAGTAAGTTATAATATTTTTTTATTTATGTTAGAATTTCTATCAGTGTTTGAACATTAATATTTAGAGAGTTTGTACAATTTCCATTCGAAGCTTAAAATGAGAACCACGCTAGATCACAAATGGTAACTAAAATACAGTTCAGAATTGTATGAATATTCACACTCTCTTTCTCTCTTAACACTGTAAAACACTTTTTTTTCTCCAGGGGGTTTACAAGGAAAAGTGTGCACTGTAATTGTATCTCAGCAGTGTTCCAAAACATAATGGTATCATCATTACATATAAACTCTTTAAAAATATACTTCTGTCAAAAGACTCGATGACTACTATGTACACTACAAAAATAAATTTTCATATAAATAAATTATATGGCATAATTTTATCTTTGTAACTGAAATGACACAAACCCATTCCTACCAAACAGGCAGACAATGAGACCCAGTTTGAATATTTTTTTTCCTTTTAACTCCTTACACTAAAAGCTACAACAAGTCCATAATGTAAATGTTATATACTCTTTCCTATTTAACATTAGTAAGCACTCTATACAAATAAAAATCCATTAAACAGTAAAAACATAACTGTAATAGTGTTTCCAATAGAAATAAAATCCCTGCATTTTGTTTGTTATAAACTGGCATGACAAATACTGTAAGAAAAACATTCTTATGATACAAAAATATAAATATCACACATGATTAAAAAAGTTAAGAAACGAAACCAAAACAAAATAAATGTTGCCAGCCACTGAGTTCTCCCCTTGCCAATGTGACTATCGAAGAAGAAGGTCTACATTGTGCACAAAGCAGCAGACAGCTCACCCACACACAAGCATGCAAGAAGACTCGGGCAGGAGCAGGTGGGAGACACTGCAGCTTGCCCTGGGCCCTTTCCCTCCAAGGAAGAGCAGGAAGCAAGGCAGCCTGTGGCACAGAGTGGTGCCAGCGGGAGCCCTGCCAATCTCTGGCACGTGAGCGCACAAGCTTGGTGGTAGAAGGTGGCTTCCAATTAGTATCATGAAGTTTTGTTGCAGAGTGTGTATGATCTGAGGTCACTATGCTGCTAGTGCTAAATTGAGGCCCCTCATCTTTTTGTCATCAAGAGTTTTCATGTTAGACAGTGAACTGGACCAGTAGGCAGTTGTGACATTAACCCTTGGTGTGCACTGAAACAGTAGCTTATGTATCACGGGAATGACACCAGGCTCTCGCCACCTGCTCTTCGAGCGTTCACATTGGAGATCTGTAAACAAGTGCCTCATATCAAAGTGTTTTCAAGTGAGCAAAAAAGGCATGGAAATTTGTGCATTCTAATTATCCCCATTTGTTTTGCTGGCAAGGTCTGTAGGCAAAGATAGACTCCCTGAAGCCACTGGAGAAAAACACTTTCCCATCAAAGAATTGGCCACTGCTGTTCAGGTATACATAAAGAAAAGCCCCACCACTGCTGTATTTAGAAACTGAATATTCGTTGTGTTTGGCTCTGAATACAAAAGTGAACATCTACCTGCTCTAAAAAAACAGCTTGGTGAAGGGCAGAAAAAAGATTAAAAAAAGAAGACAGAGATAATGAAAACTTGTGTTGCATTATTTTAAATTAAGGTTCTTTGTTCCTACGGTTTGTTTCCAACTAGAACACAGATTGCAGTGTTTTTCCAGACCCTTCACCTGCAACAATCCCCTTTTAGTTTAAAAACAATAGTACAAAAAGCTAAATTAGTTTCGCAAAGAGATCCCAGTTTAGCTGTTATAATTAAAAGTGCCAATGCAGCATGGGAAAACACAAACAATAAAGAAAAGAACTATCCAGGCTTTAAGTGTCATTACCATCCCGGCCCACCAGAAAGCCATTTATATTTAAAAGTGAATATACTTTTTTTTTTAATCCTTCCATTTGATTTTTATTACTTACTATTAATTCCTTCCTGCCATGAAAATAAGGTGACCAAAGATACTGCTTTCAATGCTGTAATGACTCAGCTAAGCTGTGGCTGACCATTAAACAATCCATTATCCAGCCACTCCAAATTAACAGTATCAAAGTAAGGCAGATGCTCATTGTATTTCTATAACCACCAGCACCCGTCAATACCCAGCACCTTTGGAAGTGAAAAAATAATGGTTATAGTGCTTGCACTTACCTGGCATATTTTGTGAGGGGAAAAAAACCTCAAAGCACTACATGGACTGTAACTAAGTCTCACAACATTCCTGGGAGGTAGGTAAGTGTAATTATAACCATTTTACAGGATGAAAAACTGAGGCATCGGGTAGTTAAGTGACTTGACTAAAGTCATGTGAAACAGGTCATTAAGGATTTGGGAACTGAAACATAATTCTAAACCTCAACTCCCTGTCTTCTCTAGTATTTTAGTTGGGCCTTTGATGATGGCAACAATCTATTGTTGTATATATTGGTAAACAACAACAGAGTTTTCACTAGTGCCTACTAACAGGGAAAGCCAGACTCACATCAGCATCAGTGGGTTTGTAAGCCCACCAAGTGTTAACATACAGTAAAAGAGAAACTAGAGTACACCAGGAACATGCACACAAAAGCACACATATTTCCAGGTGCACACTTGGATGCATACAGCAAAACAAAACCTGCACATAGCTAAGTCTATTTAAGCCTCCCAGATTAACTTGCTTTTCTTCATATTTGCTTATTTTAAAAATTACCACGCATAGCGTGTTTGAAAGTTAACAGTAACATTTCATACTACCACAGGGTTGTGATACACAAATTTAAAATATTTTAAACAGACATGTACCTTTTAAAAAATCCTATTACATAAGCAATATTTGCATAGAATTATACAAGTAAATTATAAAATATTTAAGCAGCAGCAACTTATGCTGAAATTCAGAACTAGATTAAGCTTAGTTGTGGCACAGACATCAATGTACAAAAAGTACAAAGAGCACACAATATTGTCCCCATTCTATTGCCCAAAGGCAAATTACTCCAGACTATACTACTTTACATCATTCTTTTGTATATTACATATGTGTACATCTTTTAAATACTTAAAAGAAATATTTAACAAAATAATACAATAGGTTACAGTAACAGTGAACTGTTGTCCTGATGCAGCATGTCCTTTTCTACAACTTCAAGCAGTTCTTCTCTTCAAGCAGTTCTGGAATATAGTTTTCCATCTTTGGCCTCTTCTTTGCTTCAGTTATTACCCTGTTACAAATAAGGAGAGAGAAAAAAGCAAACATTCACTAAATTTCAAGAAAAAATGAACAAATCAAATGAAGCCAACTAATTTCATTATTCTTGTGGTTAGAGTTAGCAGTCAGGAAATGCTAGCTCTACTTTCATCTCAGTCATTAATTTCCTGGTGAAGAAATACTGATGCAAATTAAAAAAATGTAGATGCTTTAATTTCTAAGTTTGCAGTTTTAGATAGCTGTGACAAATTCAGTCAAAACCAATGAACAGTCGAATGAGAAGTATGCTACATTGAATACTGAGCTTATTTAAGAATCTCACATTACCATACACTTCAGCTTGAAAAGACTGAGCCCAAGTATTACTTTATTCTGTGGATGCTATTATTTGTCATATTTCTAGACTGCAAGGCTAAAGGCATTCACATCTATTTACGCTTTGGGATGTATGGCGAGACGTTTTATAATTCAGAAAGTGGTTTCATTTTGAATTATCATAAAAATTTCCATCAAAACTTTGAGTGTGTGCATACACATGCATGCACATGTACATGCAAAATATTCTAGAATCAAAATAAAATTACTTGCTCTGCTCAGACTGTCACTGTCTGTCACTGAAAAGCTCAGACAAGCAAAGAGAAAAAAACAGTAATCCACAGATAAGTAACTACTCTAACACGTTATTTTTCCCCTGAAAGACAAGAGCATTGTAAAAATAGTGAGAAATGGTTTTTCATGTAAGAGCCCCAAGAAGTTGTCAATGTAAAAGTCCAATGGGCAGCTCTATCCTGTGCAAACCTGCAACTGCCACTGCAGCTGCCCCGGCAAGGCAGAGGTCAGCTCAGACACCTCCAGTGTTCGAGGTCACTGGGGAGGTCTCTGAAGGCCCCCCCAAAAGAGCAGGGGATACTCTGCTGAGCAGCACTGCACTAGACGTAGTAGGACTTCCCACTTCTCATTTGGCTCATCTTCCAGAGAGATTCAGTCCTTATTATGGACTTTAAATGGACTTTCTTTCATGAAGTATTTTATTCCAGACAACAACTCCTGAAGTAACTAACACAATTTTAAACTCTCCTAGGCAATGTCATTTTATATAATGTTTTAGAGCACGCCTGATTCAGGGATCAGATGACAGGACTTATGCAATGGTAAATGCAGTCACACAGCTCTGAAACTGTTATACAACATCTCTGCTTTATTTTCCTTATCTGGTAAACTGGGATTGTATGACGTACTTATCCATTTTGCAAGGCTCTTTGAAGCAGTTAATACCTGAATGCACTGTGACTTCCCACTGTTGCAGTGCACTATCTTAGCCAACCTCATGTCTAGTGCAAAATGTACTATATTCACAGTTAGCAGATTTAAAGTGATCAGTGTGACCTGTAAGTAGTGCTATCTATGAAAAGTTACCTCTGAGAAAGTTTATTTTTCCTATTTCTTTTGATCACACCATTGCCTGACACAGGCCAAAGCTTGCAGTTACATGGCATGGACCTACCTTATTGTGAGCTGTTGCCAGGTATCCTTTCCTCACATTCAACATCTTGCAGTTCTATAACTTCCACTTTAGAATTTCTTCTTTCACACCGCACATTGAAAGGCACGTGGGGGTCCTCAAATGGCGCATGGCCGGCTTCGTGGTGTCCCTCGTAGGATGGAAAGCTCGCTCCCCGAGAGCTGTGGCTGTGCAGGGCAGGGTGGACAGCGACAGTGACTGAGGCTGAGGCAGTCACAGTAGTGATGGGCTGGCAGTAAGCTGCTCCTGCTGCACCTGCAGCCCCAAATGCCGGGCTCCTCACGCTGTGGGAGCGAGCCTTGTGGCCCAAGCGATCCCTGCTGCTGCTGGGTGCCGGCTGCCCTTCAGTAGAAATTTCAAAAGCGTCCCTGCGAGGGCGGTAAGGAGGTGGTCGCGGCCCTTCCCTCGCTTCCCTTTTGGGCTGTCTGCCCTGATGCCACGGCTGCTGCACACTGGGCTCTGGATTTGGCTGCAGCCGAGGGCTTGGCTGATGCCTTGCTTCTGGCTGAACCACCTGAGAAAGACACACACGGTTACGCCTCTGACAAAGCAAAGCAAGCAAATACTACACTTGCTTATATTTTATGCTGGGAATAATAATAATAATAATGCTCTGACTCTACAAAGGGAATGTTGTGGAACCTGGTAATTGATTTTTCCATGGTTTTTGTCTGAATATTGAAATCTGGAAAGCAAATTCAGAAAAACACAGGATGACAGCTGAAAACATTATTGTAAGCTTCCTACATGCTGGTCCATCTTTTCAAAGGGATGGGTGACAAGCACTTGGTCTTAACTCAACAAGCAGAATTGCAGGCATTTGGAAAAGGCCATTCCATGCAGGGAACATACACAGGATGTTAGTAGAGTAGTTTGTATAGACTGTAGGAATCTGTTTTCTGATTTCCATAAAGAGCGTGAAGCACAGCAGCTACATCAGTCAATAAACCGTGACCAACTTCAAATGTGGCTGTGCTTGTACCTATTTCTAGGCCTCTGCTGAACAAAACCAGATCCGCATTGCAGCTCAGCATGCAACATCAGCAGGGGTAGGAGACAGAGCTTTTTCACTTTCCTTTGAAATCGCAATCATGCCAACCCAGTAGCAAGATGCAACAAGGCCCAAGATTTGGTACAACACTTAAACTGCTTTCTTCTGGCTCTAATCTTTCTCCCCAAAATGTGCTGCCACAGAGAGGTATATGATAGCAATCCACAAGGAGCTGTGTGAAAGAGGTTGGAACTTCTAATCTCTCTTCCTCCTGTCTCTGAAAAGTCATCAAACAGACTGAGAGCTCTCTCTTGTGGCTGGTGCCAATAGGATGTAACAGCAATTACCCGTGCCAAAGGCCCTGCTTTTGTACCACCACTTTACCCCCAGCTCAGTTCTAAAGGAGAGAATGAGGAAAACCTTCACTCCTTACAAACAGATTTTGGCACAAAGTCACAAAGCACAATCAGTCAGAAAGACTTTTCCATGAAAATAAACAGATTTTTAAAAAGAAACGAAACAAAACACACCAAAAAACTTCTTCTTGCCCTCCTGCTAATACATATGAAAGCTACTTACAGTAGACCTTGCAAAGAGAGGATTCTCCGTTGCTTCCACTATTACTTGATGGACTGGTGCCCCAGGACCTTGTGTGGCCTCGTACTGATGCAGCTCTTCACTGATGCCAGACACTGTGGTTTGAGAGCTGTACTCAGAATCAGAGGAATCTGAAGCATTATTTGTATGGCCAGGTGGCAGTGCAAACCTCACAGTACCAGGGGGTGGCTCAGGAGATGGTGTGGGCAATCTGTCCTGTCCATTAGCTGGAGAAACCTGATGACAGCAACACTTTCAGTTACATTCAGCTAGCTTTACCCTTTTAATCACTAGTGCTTGAGACAAACAATGTTCTGCCAAATACACCCTGCCATGCCACAACATGCTTAGCAACAGTTTTCTGATGAACACAGAAACTGAACTGAAAAAAATAATGGAAGTATAAAAGACATGACCTCCATCTGCAGATACATATGTAAACAAGACTACACAGATTCTTCTGAATATCATTGTATCAGGAAAAGCATACATGTGTGTATGTGCATGCACTTGCAAATATAAAACTGCTGGGCTCCCCTCTCCCTTCAGCAAGCACTAGCAGTGATTTCATAAAAGCACCTCAATGGGTTGGGACAGTGTTACTACGAGTCTGTTTGCAAAGAGAGATGGATACACACATCACAGCAATATATGCAGTAATAACACACACATTCACATTGTCTGAGTAAGAGACACGTCATGCATACTGTTAGGAATTAGGAGAGTGCACATTGTTGTCAAAACTGTTTTACTATTATTAAAAGAACCCAAACACTTCTGAAATATACCAGTGCTGAATACTTGTGTTTTATTTTTGTGCCTACACACATATGACATGTGAAACACAGCACACTGCTTCTATTGACATGTGATAGAGATAACCCCACCATAACACAATAATTATATGAACTACAGAGCAGGCAATAAATGACCGACAACCAAATACAAATTTGGTATCTGTGAATCCTGGAGTCCAGACTTGGACTTTGTACTGTAAAGTCTTCTAAGTGATGACATATCTAAGTGAAGCTTTCCCCACATCAAAAATGCTGCTTGAGGCAGGAGAATGCCGCAGGGAGAGGTGACTGGGCTGTGGGGACCTTCTGGCAGGCCAATCATGGTTATCAAGGTGTGGTCTGTCGACCACCACTGTGTGTGCTGGTCCACACAGGCCTTCCTGGTGGTCTGCTCAGTTAAACACTTCCAGGAATACAACAGAGCCAGTGAGGTAAGGAAGTAGCAAATATGTGTACAAAACAAACTATCTTTTGTAAAATATTGAGGGAAATGTTACAAACTTGTTTGCATATCACATTATATCAGGTTTGCTTATTGTGACCTCCAAAACAAGACTTATTTTAAAAAAAACAGCTTTAAAAAAGAGTAGTATCAACTACGTAACAAACAGCACTTGTAATAAAAACTTATAAAGAAGCCTGAGAGCAAGGAACTTAATCCAAGAAAATTTTAAAAATACTTTCTAAAATTGGGGGGTGATTGAGGACAGCAGCACAGACATAGTATTATTTTTCTGTTCACCATTAATTTTACTGACCTCAGGGTATGGTCCAAAGAATGAGAGAAGAACAGGAAGCAGCACCAATCCATTGAGAACTCCCAGAATGGTTAGGATTGCCAAAACAGCAAAGAAATACCTAAAGTACAGTTTAAATGGTTTGTGAGAGAGAATAGCCACTGTTAGAAACAAGGGATTACAAATTACTCCTACATATGTTAAAAATAATACAGATACTAAATTAACTCTAACATATTACTAACATCAAAGGAAACAATTATATCACTTTCCATATAAGATATAGGAGTTTTTTACCTTTTGAATTAGAGAAGCTACATTCCACAAAGTGTTAGTTGAGAAAGGAAAGAAAAAATTTGTTAATTTCTCAGAATCTGGAAGCATGTAATGTTATTTATGAATGTGTTACACAAACACAAAAATATGGAATGCACAGGGAATGGCTGAATGGATTGAAAGCACAAATACAATGAAAAGGGGCCCCCATTAGTGAAAACCCAGCAGAAGCAAACAAATGAAGTGAAGGGTGTAGAATTTAAACAATTTAGTGTAGAAGGAAAAGAAGCCCTCTTCTCCCAGCAGCTAATCCACTGTGAAATGCTTCTGCAACTTACAGCAGAATGTCTAATTAAATCTACAGTATATCAGGTAAGGGTTTTCCTTGCCGTTCATTAATCAAACTTAACGCCTAGATTTCTGTGAGTTCCAGTTTTACCACATAGCTTGAATTGCAACTCTTTTACAACACAGGAACCCGCTTTCTGCAAAGAAAATGCCCATTCTATAGTAAGCTTCAGCATTGTACTGAGTAAGAGTGCTCCACAATGGCAGAGCTGCATTGCAGGCTAATCTTTTGTTGAACAATTTAGCATCTCTGAATACTCTTGTTTTGCGTCAGCCAATTCAAACATAAAGGCTGAAATACTATGGAAGAAGAGAAAAGTGCACAAGTAGTTGTCCTTTCCCACCACTGAGGGCTAAGGTCTGGGATCCTTCATGAATACCAAGGTAAACCTGTCAGTAAAAGGAAAGTCTTGCTAGTTGGTATTCGGCACAGCTGGGGCTCAGACTAAACTTAAGGCTGCGTTGTAACTAATGATTTCAAGGACTCAGTCTTGGTAAATTCCTGGAGGAGAAGGCAAAGGAGAAGAACAGAGGGCAAGTTTGCTACTAATGGGTCTGCTGATTACATTGTCTAGCTGGCAACAAACTTTACTGCCTCCCTGTTTCCACATCGGATCAAATATATCAGACTCCTGTAAAACTATAAATATCCCGCTATTGTAAACATTTGGGAATTTCTGATCTGCATTAACAAAAATCAGCAAGCCAATCTACTCTACTAACATAAACCACCAGAACTTTAAACTGGGACACAGATCAACAACAGACATTAAAAACATTTGCATCTCATCCATCTAACGTTAGAATAAACAGGAGGATTATAGCTTTGACCAGTTGGTGTATACAGTGTCTGTTAATTTACTTAATCTTCCACATTGCTGGACTAATCTGTCGCTTTCCGGAAGTTTAGGATCTTCTTCGCCCACTCTAACAATGCTCATGCTCCCCATAGTTTATTTTATTATATTTTTTAAACACAGCAAACTGAAGTGAGATTGTGCTATAAAAACAGAAACTGATGGCCAAAAAAAGTAAAATAACGTAAGTTGAAAAGTTGAAAGGCTCATTTTATAAACTGAGTGCACATCCAATCCAAATTTGGTGTGAAGGGCTGCTACAATCTTCCATTTGCTATGACACAAAAATGTGTGCCAAAGTCTCATCTGTTAAGTAGGAAAGTAGCACACCAAAAATATACCCCTGTAAATTTAGGTTAAAACTATCAGTAACCTTTGCATCAAAATATTCCAACCCTTACAAAATCAGGTCCTAAAAGAATAATTCTATTTCTTCAATACCAATTCAATAAAGTTAAAAAATAGTGATTTTGGGGGAAAAAATTTGTTTCAGGACATGGAATGCCTATACAGTAATAACCTTCATGCAGGTTTCATGAGATCTAACTACAAACTGCCTGCTTTCTTCAAATCTCTTTCATACATAAACAAAAAGCCTGATGAGATTTAGCAGTCATTCTCTCAGTTCCTGCCCCTGACATTTGTTGTTCTTGTTGTCAAATGGATGTCAGTTAAGTCTAGTCATCTATCCAGCTTATGTCTACCTAAGTAGTTAAGCCATCTTTCAGAGCATTTTTATTTGGCCCAGTTCTACCTCAGTTCCATTTTAGGGCTTGGATTATTTTTTTGTGTATGTGCACTATAGTTTACCACAAAGAGCCTGTGTTACTTCTAAGATTAGCCATTTTGCAGAGCTCCACAGGTTGTTTGGAATAGAAGAGGATCTGTTTCATTGCACTTCTCAAATTTCCCTCAAGAAAAGACTTGCTTTCCTCTATACTTGACAAACACACATTCTTAATTATATTCACAAGAAACAGCCTGCTTGTAGTTCTAAACAGAAGGGCCTTTAGGCTTTGCTGTACAAAATTTTAGTATGAAGTTCTGTGTTCGTATTTATGGTTCCCCAGCTCCCAAACAGCGCCTTCTCCCCCCGACATCCCCCCACCCCTTTTCCTCATTATGTAAAACCTACATAAGGATAGAAGGGGAGGGCCCTGAGAGAGTCACTTGCAGCACAGTTGAATGTTTGTAGGTTCACATGTCTTTTGCATACAAATTCTTGTGCATACAAGAAGTCTGGAGGACCTCAAGGCTAAAGGTCAGCTGCAGCTAATACTGGACAATACAAGATGCTTTGAACTAATTCAAACCCAGAATCAGCAAACTTTCTAAAGAGCAGCATTTTTGTGTTCCTTCATGCTAAGTTTCAGATTTTCCTGGAACAGATTTTAATGTCAGCAATGGAAACACTACCATGTCTAGCATGTAACAAGGAGTTAATAAAACAGAGGGAAAGCAGGACCATGACATAAGCATACTTGACACATCATGCATAGTAATAAAATGACAGATTCACCAAAGTGAATAAAAATTTAAAGCACACCTATTTTTATTTTTGAAAGAAAGTCAAAACACAAAAATGCTTTACCTGACAATAAAATCAAACTCTGATCCTGCAAGCATTAACACCCCAAGCAGAGTGGACACGGCCCCATCCAGCACTGGTGCAAACATGTGTTCCAATGCAAGAACAGCCCTATGGTTCCTGTCTCCTATGGCAGTTAAAAACGCCTGTAAAACAAAAAAATCCATTTCCTTAGGCAGATGTATACAACCTTCCAAACAGTCTCTCTCCTAGTATACACAGATTTCCATCAGCTAATTACTCTAAACTACAGTTTATCAAAGTTACCTCTGTAGCTGCCTAACCCTTGAGAGAAGGTTTGATCCTGCAGATATACCACATAGCAGCTGCTGAAGGCACATAACCAGAGTAAGCACTAATAACAGAATCAGACCATAATAATTCTGGAAGCAATGCCTACTTGCAACAGTAGCCTTTTGTCTCTGGATTTGCCTATTTCCACCTGAAAAGAATCCACATCCTGCTGAAAGCACTTCAGGTGTGAAAATTGCCTGGCTATTCCTCTCATTCTTGTGGGTCCATGTCTTCTGTGACTTTTTTTAACATTTTCATTTCACTCAGAAATGTTTTTGAAACTTTTAGGACTTCAAAGGTGGCAGGTCTATACATACAAAATTATCCTAGGAATAGTGCTGAACATGGTAGTGCCTGAGCAACAATATCACTAGTGAACTGTCTTCACCCCTACAACTCTGTATGCATAAGCTTTATCAAGAACACGCAAATGCTGGTGTTATAAATTTGTCTATTCTGTGTATGACTTAATAGTTTAAGAAAAAAAGAACCTGACTGATCTTATTGTGATTTGTAAGGGCTCTCTTTAGTTAATTCCCTACTCGCTTTTCAGACGTGCTGAAGCAGCTATCTTCCTCACAGTCCTGGAATTTAAGTCTCTCTTCTCTGCAACTAGAAAAAAACAAGATCACAATTCACAAGCAATAGCAAAAAACTGACCCACTACTGGATTGTGAACCACTCTCAAACTCAGTTAAATTCGGCATTAAAAGTTCCAGCACTAACTTTTTGGTTTATACAACACTGATTTGACTATTTATATGTTCCAAAGCTTTTATCTCCAGGGTCAATGTGAGAAAACCACTATTTTCAGTTTGCTTGGCATTTTACCTTCAGGCACAGGTGATCAGTAAAGTCCTCTAAATTAAGTTTGTTTCTTCCCATCTAGAAACAACTGTTTTGTCCTCTTTTTTTTTGTTCCATTTTTTCTGTTTTAAGTCCTCAATACTAAAAAGCTGTCATTTCTTTCTTCCTAATCTACACTAACACTTCCCAAATGATTCCGAGTCCTAGCAAATTCATTTACCTCCAAAAGTCTATCTGTATCAGCAGGGGAAAAAAAGATGTCATCACTTGAGGGATCCAATTGCTCCTCTTTAACCTTATCCTATTTCCACTTTGGTTTTTCTCAAAATGATTATTTTCATTTAGGGTGACTTTATGTGCGCTAACTCTGTACATCATCTAAACCACTAGAAAAACAGTAGAAAAATAGTTTCCCACAGACTGCATGTCTGTGCCCACTATTATTAGCCAATGGCTTCTGAAAAGAAGGTGCAAATTTTACAAACAGAACTAATTCAAACATGTTCACATTCAAGAAGTCCAAAAATACCAAATGACAAGATCTGATTTTGAAAAACTCATCTGAAGAATTCTCTTTTGCAAGACAGAGAATCTACATGCAAGAGGCAACAAAAAGCTGTGTAAGGGTGATGCAGCAACACTGAGGCTTCAGACAAGGATCATGAGAGTCTGGAGTGAAGCTAGGTGATTTAAGATCTCTCTTTTCTCTATATAATTGCATTAATCAAACAAACAGGTATCACAGTTAATTCTTTCTTGTCTTCTGGGAGACTGACTCAATAGTCAGGAACCACCTCATCAAGATCAACTCCGTTCCATTGAGACAAACAGAAAGGTACACAAAACTGTGACCATTTTCCTTCTGAGAATCATGTCACTGACAAGAAACTGTAAGGATTTGTGATTTGAACACTGCCACCATTTTATTTTAAGACTTTTTAAAATGCTTCTTGATTTTACATACCAAAGCGACATGAACAGTGAATTCCACACCAATGCCAACAGAAGCAATCAGGATAACCACAGGCACTGCACTCAGCTTTATTCCAATCAGACCCATCATGCCAAACAGCTCCACAGTCATCAGCGCCAGCACCACCACCTAGATGATTTCAAACATCTGTTAGTATTTTCTTACACTCCAGACAACGAGGAGACATTTCCAAACAACATGGTTACCATAGGACATATTCCTCAAAGCCACCGTATATTCCCAAAGACAAGCTGCTCTTACTTGTTTCATTATTCTGAATGGCAACGAATGCTGCTACATGCCAGTCTAAATTACACCTTAAGAACCAATTAACACATGAAGCACCAGCTTTGTACTGGTTACAATCCATCAGTGAACTGAAAAACCATTTATTCCTCCTTATCATGGACACTCACAAAAAGTACATTTGTCTTTTTCACCCATCTTTCAGACAATGCTTCCAGAAAAAGCATCTTTCAACTACCTGTATTTGAATTCTTTTGTAGACCTGCAAATATAAGTGAGTATGTCTAAAGCACAGAAGAAACTGAATGCCATAATCAGTTGGTGAGTCTCAGGTTACAGAGGGACTCTCAGCTTTTAAGGTATTTGGAGGGGATTGACATGGACAAAGTGAACAGTTAAATATAAGAGGAAGCTTTTATTTTTCTTTCATCTACCTTGTAAAAAAAAAAAAACTGAGGAAAAGTGAGGGAAGGAAATCTGGAGAATGAACTTTAAAAGTAGCTAAAACCAAGCAGGGGAAAAAAAAGAAAAATAGACACACTTATAAAAGCAATGGTGGACTCGGAAAATAAACTCCTTTACCAAAGGAGAAAAAGTATGCACTACAATAAATGATTTTATAAGCTAATGAATCAAGAATAATAACATAAATTGCTTGATAAGGTGCTATGAAAAATATTCTAGACTAAACATTTACCTTTTAACATACCTGTCATATAAATGTACATTAAAAAACCTAGTAACTGTTTTATGCTTTTCTACTTCTGGCTTTTTATAAACCATACAATAGTTTATGGAATTTAAACATTAGGGACATCATCATTCAATTTAACTTGAATGTTTACTGAGAGGCTTTTGGTGCCTTGCAGAAAGCATGGAGGAGTATTCTCTGCAGTTTATGATTTTATGCTCTTTCTCCTCGCTCAGTTACAGGCTTTCCACAGTTTGTACCCTACAACATAAGTGCTGCAGTTTTTTCCGGAAATACTGCATTCAGAAATGGCTGGGAAAATTTACAGACAAGTTAGTCTTAAGCAACTGCCTTGAAAAATAATTATGTGTGACAAAAGAAGAGAAGGAATACAGAATTTGAAATTGTTTTAATAAAGCTCTTAATTTTCCTCTGTGTCTTTATTTCTTATGTTAGTGTATATTTGAGCATGGGTAAAAGTTTATGTACCTTTCTAAGAAACCTTTAAACCTGCAAAAAAGGTGGCCAGAAGATTAAGGCTATTAAGGTTTGTACCTTCAGCATGAACCCTACCCCCTCAAGTTGAATAAATATATAATGAATGATGCAATATACATACTCCACCAGAGGCCCAGACATAAACAAAACCTTCCCGACTACAGCAAGAGCTATGCTGAAAGGAATTTGACTTCAACAAAGACCCTTATAATAAACTTACAATGATCCCAGCTGTCCAGGGGTTTAGGAGGAAGAGGGCACACACCAGAAACGTGCAAGCTAAAACCACACTAATGGATAAGAGGAGCCAGTGACGAAGTCCAATGTACTGCTCCCAGAAGAGAAATGGGTAACCATTAGGGTAGCTGGAGATCCCCAAGCTGCTGTAGTTATTACAGATAGCTCTCACTTTCTCGATAGCCTCCACAAAGTCAGAAGTTTCACGCAATCCATTGAGGTAGAAAGGAAACTGAGCATATTCTATCGGCTCGGCTGCTGGAACTAGGAAAATGACAGCAGTGTTAAAATGCACTTATGGGAAGAAGATGATATACAGAGACCAGGGTTAGCAAAACATTTTATTCTTCACAGCAAAATGCATAAAAGGTGGCAAATTTGAATTTACTTGTTTGGAATTAATTATAGTTTTAAAACTCTCCAATAAAGAGAAACTGGAAACAGTACCTGAGATTACTCTATTTTATCATGCAGTGTGACTGGACAAACACAGTCTCCACCAAGTTCAGTTATGTATAACTTAACCGTTATCTTTCAATCCATGTATTTAATCCTGATCAATGTTATAGTGCTTTTTACTGAATACCTAGTCAAAAATCCCTAACTGCAACATAAGAGTAGACAATCACACAATTAAAAAATTTTATCTAAATGCTCCTCTTTTATGCAGTTTCTTCAAAATCAAAGGTCCTTCCCTGAGATTAACTGAGATTCACTGACACAAAACTAGAAAAAAATTAGGCTTGAGTAGGTTGGTTGTTTTTTAAAGATTTCCATCAAATATTTGGAAATTCAGATGCAGAAATCCACATTCAGATGGAAAATAGTGGAGGAAAAATCCCCATAATATAGAAATAATGGCTTACCAAGGAAATACATAACATTTTATCTCTTAAAAATTTGACAAACCAATACTCTCCATACTTCTTTTTGAGCGTAATGCGAGGTCTCCTCTATGACTAGAAAAGAAAAGGCTTCTTCAGCAAGCTTTTGGTTACTGCCATTGTGTGTTCTAACCCTGCAGCTTCATTCAGTTGACTTGCTTAACATGATTTGCCCTATTATAATCTCAACTATAAATTTTCATTAAGACAAACTTGGCCGACTGCCACAAAGCTCTAGGGTTTGGATACACTGAAGCATGGTTATCCAACCACATTTCCAAGAGCACCAGTTGTCCCCTATATGCCCTCTCCCCTTCCCTACTGGTGTCCAACTAGCAATCCTCAACTGAAAGCTGAATCAAAGCCAGCTTTTGGTATTGGTGCCAGGAAAACAGTGAATGGTGTGAAGTGGGATTTCTCCCCCAATCCCTCTAGCTCTTGTATGATATCAGTGTAGTAGCTTAGTGTATGAATTACCTTGGTAAAAATTTCTTAGATATTAAGAATTGAGAACAACCATGATAGAATTTCAGTAAAGAAATTTCAGAATAACTTAAGAAGGAATTTCATTAAATGCCCAGGTTTCTCACACAGACAGAACTATCAGGTAACACTTTAAAAAGCAATGCTTACTATAATTTTTTAGAGCTTTAAACTGTTCTATAACTCATTATTCAATATGATAAAACCCTGCAATGGTGTCACAGTCTCAGCAGTGCTTCAATCTCCTATGACTACAGCATAACACAATGTCTTCTGCTTATCCTTCTGAGCCCCGTGCAGCATCAGGGGTTACTGGTGCTGGAAGGAAGGAGTGGGGGCACTCATGTAAAGTGTTTCATCTTAACATCCTACAGAACTTACTCCTCAGCCGTGTTTCTGGCATGTAGTCTGCTTTGTCATGGACCCACTCTGGGCGGTGCGGGCGGATGTTGGCTTGCGAGGCAGCATACGCCACAGGGTCATTGCTAACCCAGGCTGTCAGGTAGATGTAGAAAGCATTTGGGTTAATGATTCCATCCGCATCCACCAGACGCTGTTTAGTCAACTGCAAAATGGGAAAAAATTAGAAGGCTTTCAGAGTAAGTTTTGCTTTCAGCGCTCTTGCCATAATGCTTACAACAAATGGCCTGGAGACGCAACACACGTATAGAAGGGTAAAAGCAAATGAAAAGGACATGAATCTTCACTGGAAAGGACTTATCAGTAAACTATTGCTGAACAACAAAAGCAAAATCTAAGAAAATGCAGTGACAGTGGTTATTTATAAATTAGTACTCATATAATATTTGCAATAACCAGTAAATCAACAGATGGTTCCAGAATACATTGAACCAATTAAATCCAAATTCTGAAAGACTGCAGCCAAGAATGAAAAACAACTAAGTTGGAGAAACATATTTAAAGACACGGAAAGAAAACCTGGCAAGAGTCCCTATACATGTCTGTGTGCAGTTAACCTCTGTTGTTAACACTGAAGGAAATGCCACCCAGTAAATGGAGGAGAGCTATAAAAATAAAACAACATCTGTATAAATTTTGCTAACACTTGCCTCCTATGACCTACGTATTCAGAAAATGCCCAGCGTCAAAAAAGCAGACGACTGCCCCGTGTTACTTGGGTCACTGTGGGCAAATGCATCTGTGGGGTAAACAGTAGTGGTATATTTCCAGGGTTCTGTTAGCCAAATCCTGCACAGCCAGAGCTCTTACAGAGGACTCCATGGGTGAAAAGTATTACTGGGGCTTTTTGTTTTGTTTATTTAAAATTCTGGCTGAGCTCCAGTTCCAGGTCTTTTTAATGAAATGAAAAACAACAGTGACAGCAGTTTAAAAAAAAAAAAAAGTTGGATTCCAAGGATCTGGATTCAATTAGTCCACAGGATATGCAACAACTGTATGTCTTCAAGCTGTCTCTGGAACTGCACAGTACAGCGCTCAACCCCTGTGGGTGCACCACACTTTTCTCCCTCCCAGGCACAGGAAATTATATCAGCAGCTGCAGTCCAATTGCATTTGTTCCACAGCGTACCTGGTACACTCTGCTAAACAAAATCTCACTGAAGGTTTTCTCTTCGACTCCCTTTCTTTGCCTAATTCATTGCTGAAGCTTCATTCAGACCTGACAGCATGTTGCATGTTGCTATACAGCAGTGTGTTTCACACACTACAGTAACTTTGAACAATGTACTCTGTAAATCTGTCACCTTTAATGCCAGGAAGAAAAAAGAAAGACAGTAAGCAGAACTGCCAAGAAGCTCATTAAAAACACTATTTTTCTGCCTGAAAGCACAGTGAGTTGATGATGACTCTCAGAGAAGAGAAGGTATGTTATTGAAGAATTTCTTCTTCAGCATTTGAAATCTAATTTTAGTGTAAGGAGTCATTCCTAATGTATTTCCACTTACAAATGGCTACAGCAAATGCAGTCATATGCTGTGGTAACCTCAGGCATATTTTATTTAGTCAGCTTTAACAACTGCCATTTGTAGTTCTACAGCACTTCAGATGTATTTAGTGATGGTGGTACAAGAATATGATACTGCATGTAATCATTTCAGTCTCCTTCCACTATAATTCATCAGTATATTTTTTTAAATGTTCTCCTTTGAACAAATCAGTAGGAACAAAACATATAATTGCAAACGTCCAGCATAGGACTAAACTCCATACACCTATGGATGCAGAGATGTATTTTTCACAACAATTTCCATGGAAACTGAGCATGTCTGGCATGGGAGCACAAAATACACACCACCCAGTAACAATCTAGGACTGGTATTTGCCATGTTGATTTGAAGATTTTGCAACATAGACTATTATGGTGCATCTGAGGAGTGGCTTCAGCAACATCAGCGAGGCCATACAAGAAAGGCAAAATTCAGACATTGAGCTCCTTGAGCGGGAAAAAGGAAACTACAACCTCTGTAGACTTTGCACCTTCCCCTGCTCCAGATGACTCGTGTATTGTTGTGTAACCCAGCATGGACTCCAATACACTACCTGGCTGATGTCAATGGGTTTTGCTTGGTTGCCTGTTTGTACCAAGAGTTTGTAAGCCAAAACAGCATCATCAGAACCATTTTTATAGCTGTTGTAAGTGATCTTCCCAGTTTCCCAGTCACTGTCAAATGCATCCTGAAGTCCTGAGGAGTTAAGAGAGACAAGGGAGAGACAAAATAAGCAGGTGAATAATCACTATTATAAACAAGTTTCAGAAGGAGAAAGAGTAATGATGCTTTTTCATAGCTGAATCAGGATGAAAATTATTGACCGGGTTCCTCCTAAATTTGGGGCTCCACACTGACAGTGTGTGGGAAGTGTCAGTTGCATGTCCAATATTTTCCCCAAAGAAAGGCAGGGGAAGCAAGAAAATGCAAGGGAGATGCCCTAGGAGTTCCTAGGTTGTGCAGACCAGCAAAGTTGAGCTAGCAAGCTGCAGATGCCTTGTGAATTGGCAAAAATGGCTTCCCCTCAAGGGAAATTAAAGGTCTTCCCCACTTGGAGAAGTGTATGGGAAACAGTTAATCTTGCTTAGAACAGAAAAGGGCTGACCTCAGCCTTCATCCAGCTTCACCATCTTGCCACCAGAGGAGGCATAAGTCTATTATGTAGTAGGGAAATGTTCTCCTTACTAGCCTCTGCCTTACCAAAACCCTGGCTGAGTGCACAGAGCCACAGAGAAGGACACACACCGCTCTCATTACTGTTTTGAGCTACTGCAGAGCACTGGGGCAATAGCTTCTACACTATAACCAGAAATTCCACTACGAGCGGGGAGAAAAACACTCAAACTTTCAACTTCAAACAGCAACTCAGCTGCTCCTCAAGCACAGCGTGAGTGAACACGATTTTGTCAATTTGTTCCATCTGTTCAACTTGTGCAGCTAATACAAGTCATGGGATCTGCTGCCAGCACATGTAAAGATCACAGCCAACACCTATTCACTCTCAACTGTTATTTTCCTCCTTGCCACCCTTCAAGAGGGAGGGAACACCTCACAGCAGAAATTTGGATCAGATTTAGTACAGGAAGCCACAGCCCAGTTCAAGGAGGCTCTGTGCATGCAGATGACAAACCGCATGTCCAGGGAAGGGAAGAAAAAGGCCGGGGGAGTGGTGGTGGAGGAAATCATCGACCCACCTCACAGCTGGGCCGAGGAGCCATAATGAAAACCATCGCTGCAGGCTGGATAGGTTAGCTACAGCTGTACTGAGATAAGAGCACTGGAAGAGAAAATGCACCCAGCTGACACTGTCTCGGGGCAGCGTACCCATTCCCATTGACAAACTCATCCTCTCCTCCTTGGAAAACTGCCATGCTGTCTCACTAAACCATGTCAAATCATGTGAAGCCAACAGGTTGAGAACCAAATTATGAAAGAAGACTGCCAGATCTCTGCATGCAGTCCTCTAGCACTGCTCCAGGAGGAGGACAATTTGCAGTCAGGTTTTCTGACATCACCAAAGGACTTTAAGGTTTCTTTTGAAAAAAGCACTGCTTGCTAGCACTGCAGAGGCGGGGAAACACTGGTATGAGTACGCAAAAATACCAATCCATCCCTTCTGTGCCAAGTCCAGCTCCACATCAGTTTCTCACAAAGTGGCCAGGTGAGAGTATTTGGGCTATCATATCAGTGACAAGAAACACAATGACTTTGGAAAGTGAAGAGGATGCTGTCAAAAAAGCACATGGAAAAGAAGGAGATTACCTAAGAACAGTGTAACTTCCAGTAGAAGCGTCTCCCTTCCACAGAAGGAGCACACAAACTGCTATGATAGACAGCACATCAGGGCAGAGCTTTCACATAAACATCCCACTCCTGTCAGGGGGCTCCACAGACACAATAATAAACAAATCCATTGGCATGTGACATACCATGAGGTTGCAAAAAAGGGCATGTACTTGGAAACATTACTGCAGTGGGTGAAAACTCAGCTCTCTTACATCTCTACCACATTCCCCTGCTCCCCTGTTCTCACAAGTTAGGTCATCCTTCAAACCCTGCTCCCTTTTACACTTTTATTCTTCTAGCTTAAACATTTTGTTTCAGGTCATTTTATAATTCACCTTGCTGAAACTGAAAGTCTACAGAAAGAGTATTAAGAAAACACTGGCAGTTGTACTTAATTTCTGAAGAATTTCAAACTTGCAAGAAGTAAAATTTGCCATTACACTTCAAAATTTGTAGTAGATTTTGCTGCTTTCAAAGCAAACATGTTTATAATAATTATTTTAATAGACACTTGATCTATCGTAAGTGGGATAAATTATATGTTCCTGAGCAGAAAGAGGAAAGTGTCTTGCTGACATCTTTCTGCAGAAAAGTTACAAAAATTAAAGGAATTTTTAAAACTTTGTACAATGGATTTTTTACATAAGCAGTCACTTTCACTTAGTGCTTCAGAAGAAAGTGACAATATCAAAAATTATGTTGGAGTGGGGATGAGGAAGGAATTCATACTAGCTCATGTGAGCAGCTGCCACCTTGAAACACCAGATAAGATTTCCCTTTGCAAAAACAAGCCTAATTAGAAGCTGTCAGGGAATCCAAGCTACCTCATTTACATTTGGTCACTAACAAAAGCAGTGTTAACATTTACAGCTTAAATGAATGATTAGTGTAAACTTTTCTTCTGTTGCATTTTCAGTAACAGAAAATATGGTAACAATAACAGTATTAGAAAGCAAAATAAAAGGGATCTCTGAAAAGAGAAGTGCATGAGACTGAAAGGCACACTCCACTGCTTTTAGATGAGGAAGAATGCACAGCTAAACCAAGGATGCTTTCTTGGTAAAAAATGGTTGTTGACATGTTGTTGCATCCTTCATTCTGCTGGACAAATGTGTGTGTGTCAGAAGGCCATCTTGAGCCATTAACCTCTGGCACTGGATTCACAGTCAAGTCGGCAAGAATTAGCCATGCAGGTCAAATGTTCCTGCTTCGATTATCCAGTCCTTCCAGCACATAAAACCATGCCAGCAGAATTGCTCTGCCTCACAGAGGATTCTCATCTGCACCTTGTTTGTAAATTCTATCTTCATCTTCCCTTCCCTTGACTCTTTCAGCATCAGCCACAGTTGGTAACAATCAGGTGTTACTCTGCCTGTTAGTATGCACCTTTAAATAATTCCCCAACTATGACAAGCATAACATCAATTCCCTGTACCACTTGAAAATATAATCTCTTTCTATTGATACATCTCAACATCCTCCTTTAGAACCCCGTGAATGCAGAATCACACTCTGTGCCAAGAGCCCTGCAACTTTACAAAGCAGCAGGGTTGTATTAATTGTGACCTCCTCAGAAAAGGTGGGGAGGAGAGGTAAGGATAAGACCTAAATGCTAATTAATAATCATACTGATTAATTCCAAAGCTGTGTGTGATCAAAAGGCCAATCCACAGCCTGTCACAGGACTGCCATGTCACATGGACAACAGCAAGTCACTACAGCTTCCTGGAGTCACCCTGACTATATTGCTGCAACATTTTAGCTCCACACAGCCTGTCAGTATGCCCCAGGTACCAGGACCGTACACTGTTCCTCTAGTGGAAGAAAAGCAGAGGACAAATAAGAATAGGCTGGCTAATGTGGACTGGAGGGGAAAAGTAACTATGTGCTGAGCTAAGTACAGAGTATGAACACCGCTATGAGAAGAGCATGGGTGCACAGAACACACACGAGCACGGGCATACCGTGTGAGGGGACATGCACGCCCTTGGCCACAGAAACAGTCCTTAGCGCAAGAGGGACACAAAGGACTGCAAAGAGGACAGGGAGGCACCCAAAGTGAAAGGGGTTTGGGAAAGTATGTGCTGTGCCTGACAGAAGGGCACTGGGAATGGGAGCACTCCTGGGAGTAACAGCAAGTGGGCCAGCCTCCAGCATTTCACTTTGAGCAGCCTGCAAGGGAGCAGATCCAAGGGCACCTCCTCCTGACTTTATCGTTGGCAGACTGTGCTGAGGTTGAGCACTATTAAAGCTTCCTGAACACAATCTCAGATTTCCATCTCCCTCGTGGGGGAGGGGGAAAAAGAGAAAGGGGGGACACCAGACACACTTTTTCCTACTGTTTTGGAACAGCAGCAAAAAATAACCACAAAAGAAACAAAGTAAACAGCAGAGGTTTAAGGGACTTTGGAAAAGCATGTAGAAGTACGATTGCTTAGAATTCTAACAAGTACAGTAAGGTTCCAATCCAGCAAACATCTAGCTATGTTGAATTTTCTTCCTGCCAGTAATGCCATCCCTTACAGCTCAATATGCTTATGTGAGCAAAATATTTTAAATAAAGCTTCCAGTAAGTAGACTGCAATGAATGGATCCAATGTATTTAAAAACCATTAAAAACCCCCAAAGCTAATAGCTGAAATACTGCTTTGCATTATTTAGGAATGCATTAAACACATGGGAAACCTCATTTTGTGTAGATTTGTCACTTACATGCATCTACTTTCCTAATATTGTTCAACATATTTTCAGAAGGAATAAAATACATCAGATACTGACAGTTACTTATATGTTCTCTAAGAATCACAGGCTGCAGTGGTCATCTGTATACAATTAAGTTTAAAATTGACAGTCTCATCAGGTCAGCACAATTTTTATTTTTTTTTTGCAAACGCTTCCTAGAAATTCTCCCAATAGAAAGCACCAAAGTAATCCTGGGCAGGGTATGTTGGCTGTCAAAGTATCTTCAATATTCAATATAATTATCATCAATAATTTCAATATAATTATCATCACAGTACCTGAAAGGCGATGCCTTCTCTTATCTTTCCACACCTATCAGCACAGAAAAGCAGCACCACAGAAAGGGTGAGTGTAGTTGATTAGAAACCTGGACTATGCAGTAAGTTCCTAGCCCAATAAAACACATAAGCCATACTGAGTTTTCTTCATGCCAGCAGTCCCAGTTGTAGACAGTAAGATCACTTAAGAGCTGAAAGTTAAGTCTGTGTCACAATACACCACCGGACAGGGATTTTTCATTCTCTGCTCTGAAAACACTCACCAAATATTTATTTACCCAAGACACAGGGCCATATTTGGCCATAATGCATAATGCCTTATCAGCTGCTTAGACCTGAATGGCATGGATATAAATCCCCCAGTCTTACTGGGGAGTAAACTTAAACACAAAGAAAATAAGTGACAAAGAGTGAGACCACACATGGGTTCAAAGCAGCATCTAGGCATTCTCCCAACTGCTCAGAGCCTTTAATTGTGTGACTGTATTACAGCAATACCACTGTGAACAACAGCTCTTTCTGACAAACTAGGAAAAGTTTCTGTAATGCTCTTACCTTGCAGCCAGTCTCGAAAGTAGTGCAACCACATTTTGGGGAGCTGCCTATCCTCTTCCAACAAAACATATGCCACATTGCTGAAACTTCTGTGAAGTTCGTACAGTAAGTGCTGGACATTTGGATAGTCTGCTTTCTGAGTCACAATATACATGTTGTAGAATGAAAAGTACTTGAACTGTGCAGCAATAAAGTCATATTCCCGTGTTTCCCGTGGTACAATGTCTGTGAGATCTAGTCCATCTCTCACCCGGGTAGTTCCATAAAGGCTGAGCCCAAGTAAACCCAGAAAAAGAAAAATAACCACAATCTGCAATAGAAAACAGAGATGTATTTGGTTTTAGGCTTCTAAAGGAGCTAACAATTCATAATGTCATACTACAAAGCCAAATTCAAAATTAACATCTATCAGTACTTTCAAGCTTTTATTTTTCTGACTTTTTCTCATGCATATATATACTACAAGACTAATGTCATTTGTTCTTCCTTGAAGGAGAGCTCTGCATCATGGATGAGAAATTTCTATTGTAGAAAAGTTTAAAAGTGACATTAATTTCACTGTTCACAAGCTTGTGTTACTAAAAGTCAACAGAACCCTCACTCATAACATATATTTTAAGTATGTCTCTACAGCACTTGCCAGATAAAACTTCTAAAATAAGAAATCAACTGTAAATTATTAAAAACTGTTAGTTACCAGAGTTGTATTTATTCCCCATATTTAAAACCACTTTTTTAACTGGACAAGGCAGAAATCTAATTTTGCAAACCAGGTAAATAGCTCCCTGATTACCTTAGCTTTTGGTTTTAGGAGGAATGGAGCATAATGCTTTTCTGCAAAAGATGAGAGCGTCCACTTTGTACAGGGTTGCTCAAGGCAATGTATACTGGAGTCTGAGAATTGGGAAAGTAAATCCCTCGTCGAACTTGTGCTTTCTGGGCTCTGGCAGCTCAGGTTATCTTGTGTCACTGTCACTGGCTGAACAGATATTTCTGAGCGAGGCTCTGCTGTGGTGTAGTACACCTGCGTGTGAGGATCATATTCTGTACGCAGCTGCACTGTGGACTGCATTGTAATCTGAGTTTCGTGCGCAAAACTGTGGCTGCTGTATGGGGGTGGAGGACTGTAGCAAGTATTGTCATTTTCCACATACGCTTGAGGCTCAACCTGAATCACTCTAGTGACACACGGGCTGTAAGAGAAGAGAAAACCATCTGATAGCATTGAGACAGATCCTTATTTTAATCAGGCTAGACAGGATAACATGCTTTCATCTGAGATTGCTTCTACTTCTATTGGAGAGTTTATATTAATTACGTGTAATGCTTAGATATTAATTTTGTTCTGTGCATTTAGGAAACATCTCTCAGACATGGTATATAGTGTAGGGCCCTGAGAATACGTGCTGATTTCTTGGCCTCCAGGAAGAAGGAACCAGCATCTGTCTGAAGCCATTGACATGTACACACATCACTGCATTGATTACACATGCTTATCAGGTAGTTGTACCATCTGAATGCACAATAAGTCTGTGAGTTTGCATCTCTGCATCCATGCTGAGAATTAAGATATTTATATGAAGAGGGAAATGCATGACATAGCTAGTTCCTGTGTTCAGGGCAAACAAAGTAAGCGTTAAATAATACCTGGGCCTTCTGGATACGATCTCAGACTTTTGGGAGGCAGGTTGAAATTATTTGCCATATACTAACTGAATATTTTATAAATCGGAAAAACATTAAAATATTAATGAAAGGATTAATTCCTAGGAAGGGTGGGCCATATGAAGAGACAAAATCACAGAAGTAATTGAAGTATTCCCTTTATTTTAGTCTATGCAAGACCCTAACAGTTACCTATTTTATATTAAAAAATATAATTATCAGAGACAAGCCTGATAATTATATCAGGTCATTTATATATTATGTCATTTCTCATTACATGAGAAATGACAAATGGACAATACTAAACAGTGTCAGATATTTTTCATCAAGTGCACAAATCCTACAAAAACAAGAGGAATTCAGAATGTTGCCTACCTAATCAAAGCAAGCTCTCACCAACTGCATTTCTTCACATGCAAACGGGCTGAATTCTGATGCACATTTGGTGCAGCTTTAGATGAGGGAATAAATGGAAGGTTTGAGTGTCCTGAATTCTTGAAAATCAGGGCTCCAATACTCTGATACATTCAGCTGTTTTCTGGAACTATGACTGAATAAGAAATAGCTTGGGATCTACTCCCTGTTTTAACCATGCTCTCAGAGACGAATTTAGTAAAATGTTTTCTTCCTTTGACAAGAAATATTAAACTACCAGCTCTTGGATGCATGTAAAAGGCTAAAATATCCCAATAGAGATTCTCTACATCTTGGTTATGACAGTAGGAGTACATGTGTAGAAGTGTAGCTCATCCTCTTCTCTGCAGTCAAAAGCAAAAACTAAGGTAGAAAAGATGTTTCATTTCCAAGCAGTGGCTCCACTGATGAGAGCAGACTCCTAACATCCATTATAGGCTCAGAGCTGGCTGTGTATCAGGTGAGAGTATGTTTGTACACACTTTAGAATGGCAGCATCACCATTCTGTAATACTACTGCAGCCACAAAGGACACTTTATCAAGCATTATCCTGTAATGGTAGTGATTATTCCTTATAGAGCTATGAAAAACTCACCTAAGGGGAAGTCATTTCACAGTTTATTTATTTAGGTTTAAAAGCATAAAAGCATAAAAATTAACACATAATGATTTACTCTAAGTCAGGCTTCTCAGTATCCTGAGTTACGTACAGCTTTCCAAGATTAGCCAGTACTGGCACTGGACACCTTGCAGTAAATCATAAGCTTCTAAAAACACTTAAAGATATTCCTAAATAGTGAATCTTTCATCTGCTTTCAGAACGTTGTTCTCCAACAGTCAAAATTAACATATGTAGGAATGAAGGGAAAAGTATGGGGGAAAGGGGATGTGGGGGAAGAGAGGGAGGCAGATGTATTTCAGCTTTTGCCTTCAGGCAAGTAAAAAACAAGGTAGCAAACGTAAGCCAGTCACTAGCAATGAAATGGTAACAATAACATTCTTCTTTAATGAAGAACTCCCATTCCTGGTGAGAAATGGATGCACTGATTGGTGACCGCAGAAAGGACAAAGCTACTGCTAACTCTCACCTTGTAAAACAGCAAAATATGTCCAGTCTCCTGTCTTCCCGACGATAAAGGTCCATGCTCAGGATAGCAGGGAAAATCAGCAGAACCATAGCAAAATTGAACACCACCACAACTGCTGCCTAGAGACAATCATAGGATAAGTAATGCTGCCAAACTTCATTTAGGGCATCAGTTTTACAAAGCATAAAAATCCCTTTCAATTCTCATCCCATTTACCGTTGCAATCCACCTGATCCTTTCAAGCTTTTGCCTGAGCAAACTGAGAGATATATATTTACATCCCCATTTCATTATGGTAGGACTATTGTGGTAAATTAACTTAATTTAACACTAAACCTTGTATTGTTATAAAACATCTGTGCCTGGATATGTGATGATTATTTTTAAAGAGGAAAAACAGTCTGTTTACTCAGTAATCATATTTTTACATAAAATTCTGAAATATTTAGTGTCTCAAAGCAAAATAAAATGGAAGAAAACCTGGAACTAGAACTGAAGGTCTTACATTAATGGGATCTGAAGCAATTTAAGTATCACAATAATATTAAAGCATGTTATTAAATCAGAAGAGAACATTGCAGTAAATTTCAAAAAAACAGATCTCTTTAGTGAAATACTGTGCACTTGATAGTCTTACTTAAAAGTTTAGCCAAAAAAGAGCAATAGTTTGAATTTATCAGGGATTATTTTTAAACTAGAATCAAAATTAAACCAACATCTCATAGCAAATATATGTATTAATACGCCTGTGTTTAACAGAGCTTGATTTATGAGCCAGTCTACCAAAATGAGTCTTAAATTGGAACAAGAATACTTGATTTAATTTGTAAAGCAAGTATCACATAATGAAAAAATCAACCTCCCCGCCCACCCCCTTTCAAACCATACTCCAAACCCTTTCCCACACAGAGATTCCCAGAGAATTTCCATAAACATATGTGGTGCAGCATCTATCATTATTATTGATAGCATTTATTTGTAATGCAGAATTGTTAGGAGCCCTACCCATCACAAAGGGAAAGCTGGGCACTGGGAACTGGAAGACAGTTGTAAGAGTAGGAGAAACACTGGGAAAAAAATGTTCAGCCACCAACCAATGAAAAGAAAAAACCCTTTGAAAGCCTTATGTTTTACCCATTTGGTAAGCAGCAGCTATCTCAATAGCAGCCCAGTTTCATGTTAAGCTATCTATATATAAACTGTCTAGTGCCTCCACCTGTAACTTCTGCAATAATGACTACTGGTGTTAATACAGTCTTAAAGAAGAACAAAAGTTCGGCTACAAAAATGATCCAATATAAAAGTGATGTCTTTTTTTCCAAAAGAAATATATGGCTTCTTTTAATCTTGAGAGATCAGACCTCAAAACTGGCAGTACGAACAATATGATATCCAAAATCCATGTTTTAAAAATTCTTCAGTGGCTTTTCAATTGAATTACATAAATTCCTTAAATTTTTCTGCAAAAATGAAATAATAACATAATAACATAACAATAACAACATAACAATAATTTAATAACACCCTGAATGATTTTTACAGTTTTGAAATAGTCAGAATAGAATAAAAAGCTTAGATATTGTTCTTGCTGTTCTTAAAATGACAGAACCAACTAGTTATGTAAATATTTTCTAGTAATTTCATTCATAAATATACTGTGTACAAAAGCTAGTTTTATTGCTGTTTCTGTTTCCCAGTCTCCACCCTGCTTGAAATAAGACTGGAGTACTGTTGGTTGTCTGTATGCGCAGCTACTAAAACAGAATATACCTGCTACTTGAAGCCAAATTAGTATTTGGTCATCTTTGCGAGAAAAGATCCAATGATTATTTAATGATTTATAAATATTCACACAGAAAGGTATGCAAGGTCATAGCCAAGACTTTAAAATTAAGTGATTTGCTTTTGATCTGCTCTAGAATTAATTCAATCTGTCAGAAAAACAAATGGCTGCCATTGAAAGAAAGGTGTTTGTTGGACCACGTTCTTACAACTGATTTCTTTGCTGGTGCTAAACCAAAAAAGGTTGAATCACCCATATAACATGAATAATTAGTTGTGCCTAACCAAGATCTTGTATCAAGGATCAGCTAAGATTTACTGAGATTTGGAAAAAATAGCTGAGGTCTGACTCAATAATTCTTACTCCTCTCAGCATGGCTGAAAAACTAACAGAAGTCCTCTGTTTCTGCTCTATAAACTGCAAATACTTCATGCCATATCAGTTCCCTTTCTAGACCTTAACATCCTTGAATCTCCAATATTACTGAATCTGAAAACTAATACTTAACTGTGTGGTAGAGATACCATTAAAGTTAGTTATATTGACATTTGATTTTTTTAGGAAGCATCAAAATTAATCCAACAACACATAGTAAATCTGCCTATTTACATCTCTTTTTAGAGCAACTAGATTTTCCACTGTGCCATCCTAGTGCTGATGTACTAACTACCCTGAAAGTAAAATATTTAAAGCAATCTCTGTTCTGATTTTAATTTCAATAGATTCCTAGAGCTCAATATTGCACTACCTATATATTGCACACTCTATCTCATCCACCTTAACTCAGCGTTACAAGGATTAACTGCTCTTAGCCTTCACAACTAAATAAGTTCTTGTACGAATTCTAATACATGTCCCATCAAAGAAACCCCACCCTGTGACTTGATAAGGAGAGGAAAGCATGAATTACTGAGGAGTGATTCAGTCCCTGACCCAATGCATCTGCCACTGCTGCCCTCCCAATGTCATTCATATGCAGAGTGTTGTGGAATAGGAAAGTATGAGTACTGAGATCATGACAACAGCCACAATCTGGAAAAACAAGAAGGAACTCTGGCAGCTGAGCTTTCTGAGGCAGCACCCAGGCTGAAAGCATGCTTAGGATTTCCAAGAACAGGGCATCTTCTCTCACATTCAGAGACCAGTGGTCAAATGGGAGAGAAAAAGGCCTCAGACATTTTCGTTGGGAAATAATGAAAGTAAGATTAGTCCAGAAGGAATAAAATGGGACCTACTCAAGAGTGTAAAATGAAGGCATTCAGTGAAATGAGATCAGAGAGCAGTAAAAAAATTCCATTAATCAGAAAAAATTATGTTGGTCACTTCCTGAGAAACATGCTACGGTTTTTGCATCTTTTCATAATGCACAGCTTAAAAATATTATTGCTGCTGCAACTGTAACAGAGACAGAAGAATGGTAGTCTGTGCTGGAGGCAGCAAGGGAGCAGGGAGCCAGGCTGGTAGGTATGTGCTGGGGCCCCGCTGAAGTATGTGCTGCTATGTTCCATTCCTGGCAGCCCACCCAAGGAGACCGGGTGTGCTGTATAGCCAGAGGTGATGAACAGATGAGGAGGTCTGTCAGGAAAACTTCCACCCTACTGCTCTCTCTCTGCAACTCCCTCCTGATATGGTACAGACTCAGATCCTCATCCCCTGCCCCCTTTTCCCTTAGGCTTTAATTCTGGTTGTTAAATTCTCATGTCAGGGGCAGGGAAATGTAAATGGTGTGGATAAAGGTGGGGGATGAACCACTTCAGCAGAGTAAGATAATGGAACAGGCTTAAATGCATACATTCTCTCTCTCCAGAAACCCACCATTGCCACCTGGTAATGGACTTTTACATTTAGGAAAAAAAATTTGTCATTCTTGTGGTGAGAGGAAAAAGTTATTTCTAACACTTCTTCGGAAAAGTTCTACCTATGCTATGTGGTGGATCCACTGCTGTTAGGGAAGGAAATTTCTGATGTAAGAGAGAAGAGGTTGATTTTTTTTTTACCTTTATCTTTCTGAGGAAGATTTACTGTGACAGTCTCTGAACTGTCTGTCTTAGGAAATAATACAGCCCAGAGGTAGTTAGACTCAGCCATGACTTCCTTCACTTATACTCAAAACAAAGGGCTATGTTTAAGACATTCCTATTGTAAGCTTCCAAACTTTCAGTGGATTTCTCCAATAACCTCTTCTTTCACCATCCTTTTAAGAAACAAAACATGTCTGAAAATACAGGACCTACTCCTTTAGAGTCTTGAGCACTCTTGGAGATGATTCTTATGACTGAGTATTTAGGTCATATTCAGCAATCTCAAAGCCCTAAAACTGCTTAAATAAGGGGCTAATAAGATTAACAAATGAAAAAAAAAATTAGAACAGGGAAAGAGCTAAAATAGTCCCTATCTGTGCATGTAATTAACTTTCTCCTTTTTTTAAGATCTCACTTTCAAAATAACTAAATTCCAGTTTTTAAGTTTTGGAAAGAGCTAACCCTAGCAGACTCTTAAGACAGCATCAGACTTGAAGTGCTCAAGTTCCATAAAGTAAATAACCAACTCAGAGGTATCAATGAACTGCTTTAGCTGGCAGAAAATGCCAGAAGCTGAGACAGAAGAAGGCGCTGATGTGCAAAACAAGAGTTTCTAACTAGAAGTTTAGCTTACAGATGCAGAAAATTATTTATTCTCCCTCAGCACCCAGGTTATTTTACCAATACTGGGCCTCAAAATTATGGAAGGGTTGACATTTACCTTGTAATGTCTTAGGAAAAGTAAATGAAGAGCAAAACAAGATCAAGAGCAATCCTTCTTTTTCAGGCCCATCTGTTAAAAATTCATTATCTAGATGAGAAGATGGTAGTATCTGTGAAAAGTAAATGCAGCAGTATTTTACTGCTTTTTAAGTTTTCCTAGGAAACCATCAAAGACAGCAAGGACTTCTTGTTTAAACAAGTCTGAGTAAGAGTGAGAGAGAGGAAGGAGACTGTAAATAAAGAAATCCATACAAAAATACAGACCACCCACCAAAACTGCCATGGTTGTCTGATTCTAAATACTGAGATCAAAGTATCACCTGATTTTGATTTTACCTGGTGAAGCTAGGCAAAGCAACTAATAGATGTTCTTTCCTAACAACAAAATATTTAATTTTAGTGGTTGCTAATTTAGAAGTGTATCGGTCATATATGTAGCTCTGACATCAATGAATATAAGTCTTCCACTGTTCCTCCTTTGCATGTTTCACCTCTTACATAAGCATACGGGGCTACTGTGCTCTGGCAAAGTCAAATTACCAAGTGAGAAAAGTTTGAGCAATTCAAACTCTAATTTCGGGACACTTATGTAGGTTCCTACACATAAATTCCATATTAATCACTGCCTTATAAAAGACGTTGATATTTTTATTCTGAATAATATCAACAAGTTCATACAATAATACAGTATGTTGAAATCTCACTGGAAACTTTTTGTTTGTCATTTTGCTATGCAGACATTGTTTTAAACTTTCAGTGACTCAGTCTGTAGCATGGCAGTAGGCAAAAACAAAATTACTTCAGGACAGGCACATGTAAGTTAACTGATTATAGTACCAATTACAGCTGTGGTCTCCACATATGTTCCAAAGACAACCTGTCATATTCTGATGCTGAAGAGTGAAAACGAGAAAAAAAAATGAGCAAAATTTAATCAGATAAGATAGAATTAATATTGGTGGCTCACTCTCAACATCTCAGCAGTGAGATTACAACAAAATGGCCGATTTGTGTTGAATACTTCTTTATGAAATGCATTTAGGCTGATGTAATTTCTGTAAAGCAGGTACTACAGTTTGATGACCTCCAGTATTCTGTCACCTGCTGAAGGTGCCTGTCAAATATTTGAAATTCGGACACAGACTTAGGAGACATAAATAACTTCTTCCAGACTAAGCTGATAAAGCTTAGTCTTTACCATGCAAACCTCATGAGGTTCCACAAAGCCAAGTGCACAATCCTGCACCTGCACTTGTACCTGGTATCCCAGTATCAGGTCAGGATGGAGGGCAGCCCTGGGGAGAAGGACTTCAGGGTGCTGGTGGCTGAGAGGCTGGACATGACCCAGCCATGGGCACTCCCAGCCCAGAAAGCCAAACGTGTCCTGGGCTGCATCCAAAGCAGCGTGGGCAGCAGGGGAGGGAGGGGATTCTGCCCCTCTGCTCTGCTCTGCTGAGAGCCCACCTGAAACCCTGCACCCAGCTCTGGGGTCCCAGCACAGGGAGGACGTGGAACTGTGGGAAGGGTACAGAGAAGGGTCACAAAAGTGATTAGAGGGATTGAACACCTTTCCTGTGATAAAAGGCTGAGAGAATTTGGATTACTCAGCCTGGAGAAGAGAAATTTCTGGAGGGACCTTACAGCAGCCTCCCAGTACCTAAAGGGGGGCTACAAGGAGGCTTTTCACAAGGGCATGTAGTGACAAAACAAGAGGAATGACTTTATACTGAAAGAGGGTACATTTCAACTAGATATAAGAAAGAAGTGGTTTTTAAAATTTGGGTAGGAAAACACCAGAACAAGTTGCCCAGAGAAATCTAGTTAAAGATGTCCCTGCTCAGGGTGTTAGGGGACAGGGTTAGACTAGATGACCTTCAAAAGGTCTGTTACAACTCAAGCTATTCTGTGATTCTATAAAATAAAATTCACTATCACATGATCTGTAAGAAGAGACATCTAGGTTTTGGCAAATCAGCAGAGCTAAACACTGCTAACCATTCAAGACTAAACATCTAGATTTAGTTGCCACAAACATCTGCTAAATGATAAAGAAAACCAGTGAGGCCATGACATTCTCTATTATTCTCTATTAAATTGCCTGTTGAGAAGGCAATGTAAATAAATTATTAATGCCTCAGATTTTAGCTTTTGTATTTTTCAGATTCTGTATTATTAGTAACATAACTGCAATCACAAACAGTTTACCATTTTACAGTTTAATGCAGGCATACTTAAACCTCTGAGAACAGCAATAATTGCCACATGTATTAGGAAAAATTGCAGCCCTGCTTCATCTGAGTAGCCAAGGGCTCAATGAGAATAAAAATGAATGGAGAACCAAGCCAGAGAAGAATAAAAGTAACTACTGAAATAGTACAGTGCTCTGTAGTGCTATAAATTGCTTGTGTCGGGGAGAAAATTCCAAATCATTCTTCAGACTTCACTTTTAGAAGAAATCCTTCTCCAATATCATAAATATTTCATATTTCTGAAGGCATACTATCACAAACAAATACAAGAAGACGGAGAAAGGGAGAGCAAGCAATGCATGGTTCAGCACATAAAATTTGCATTTTCTTTGTACCCATGCAGAACACACAATTATCAAGTTTTCTCCAAGTTTGCTAAAATTACTGTGAGTAAGGCAGTAAAAAAATGCTACAGTAATTATTAAAATTACAAATTCATGTGTACTGCTGTCATTGCACTTGTTTTTAAGAGCAGCAAACTGGACAAACATGAATGAAAGGATTAAATTGCTGCTGAGAAAAATTACAGTACACACTACAACGCAGCCTACTCCTTTTGATTTTAGAACACAAATCCATCTGGGAACTTCTTAGTGACATACAGCGTGGGTTTTGCATCCAACCCAGTTGTGGTAGGACAGAGTATTCTTTCACCTGCTAGCAGGATGCGAGAGACTCTGTGCATGAGAAGAGGGAGCAGATGAACAGAGAGCAGGCAGCAGTTGTTACTGCCCAAGTCTGTGGTGCTGCTGCAGTGACGTTCTGGTTCAGTGAACTGCAGTAGAACCAAAATCAAGCTTCAATGCCACCACTAACAAATACCATCATTGCACTTCCACAGAGCTAGCAAAACAGGATATAAACTTACTTGGAGTGAAAATGCTCTTAAAGCTGGAATTGGAATTAAGGCAGCCATAAAGAAAGCAGTAACATTGCTGATAGATGTAAGGGCTACACTGGCTCCTGTTCGCTTCAGACATTCACCTGTTCTGTCCTGCAAAACAAAGGATGCATCTTAAAAGTCAAGCAAATAAGGTGATGTCCTGCAAATGAAGGGGTCATCCTACAGGTGTAACAGTGAAAAATTATTACAATTAAATTCTGAATATAAATCAGAGTATGTGAGAGAACTATATATCAAGTTTACTGTTCAGTAGGAACATAGATAGAGTGCTCAAGTTTTTGAGGGCAGAAAACATGACTAGACTTGATTCTAGCTTCAGAACACAAAACTAAATGGGCACTGACAATATATTAAATACATCTACAGTTGAGAAGCATTTCATTTTTACCAGTAGAATTACTTGGTGTTCTCATTTTTCAGACAAAATAAGCATGTATTAACAGCATAGAGGCATAACATAACCACGCATCTTGAAAAAACAAGTAACAAAACAAAGAGAACTCCACCAAGTCTAGAGACCATACACAAACCCCACCAAGAAATCAAGATAAACACATGACCGTTTCCTAACCCAATAGGCTATTATGAAGCAGACAGAGATTATAGAGTGAGGTTGTACTGCCTGCATACAAAACCAGCTGGAGAGAGCACAAGGAAGAGTGCTCATACAAAACAAAATCAGCAAATATACACTAATTTCAAATGGGATGTACTTTGGATGTGAAAATTTGGACTGAGACTAAAAATACAGATGAAGTAAAGGATCATAAAAGTGATGACACCTTAGACTTCCTATCAGCTATATGTTATGCTTTGATATGTCATGGTCAATTATAAACTTCAGAAAATAAAAACAAGAGAAAAATACAGAAAATAACTCAATTTTAGGGCCATAAAAAAAAGGTAACTGTCTTCCCTCTCTTTTCCCCTTATATCTTCTATTCTATGTATTCTTTTATTAAAATCATTTTATCATCTCATTGTCAAGACTCCTATTTGAGTTTGTTCCTAGATTTGCATTAACTTTCACTGAAATTTTTGGCAGAATGTGGATTATGGAAGTCTGCCTTTATGTAACAGCCTATAAATTAAAATTTCAAGAAAAAATAAACCTGAGACATAAAAAAAAAAAAAAAGAAAGAAGCAAGAATGTAAACATGTAAACATTCAAAAATGTCCTAGGACCACATATATTGTTATAATTTCCTATTTTGACAGAAATAAGAATTTCTAGACCCTAGGAAAACCTATTAAAAAAAAACCAAAACAACTCCACTGATTAATTCTGGATATGAGTGTCTCTTCCTAGATGAAACTTTTTTATTTTCCCACAAATCTCCATTTTGTCATTACCTCAAATGGAATTCTCTTATTCTGTCCTGTTTCACTAAATGCATGTGCCAGAAGGAAAACATCATCTACACCAACTCCAAGAGCAAGAAAAGGCAAAACCTTGGGGAAGAAACAAAACAAAACAAAACCCAAATAGATTTTGTTATGATCTGCCATGCAGCTAGCCATTAAATGGCTAATTATAGCAACTTTTACATTACACTCTACACAAATCTAAGGGTAAAATGAAAATGGAAAGAATGCAATACAGGTATTAACTTTTATTCTGGAATGTAGCTGAGGAATTTAAAATATACCATTAACAGGTACAAATTCTCACCAGAAGTAATTCAAGTTTTGGATAGACAAATATCTGATAATAATTCAAGTTACATTCTAAATATTTTTATAACTTGAACATTCTGGTATATTCAGATGTAAAAACAAATCTGCAACTCCTTAGATACTTAGGATGCCCCCACTTGTATTGGGACAGAGAAAAACCAAACAAGAATTACACAGATTACATAATACCTGGGTTTTTTTTCACTATCACTTGTCAGCATGATAATTTGTCACAGCATAAGCTATGAAATAGGAAAACAGTACAAGTAAAAATCTAGAGCCGAAATATTTTTTCAGTACTTTATTTCTCAAAGATTCACTTGTGTTCATTCATTAGCAGAGTACTTGCAATTTAATAGCAGAATTGTGTCTTCTAAATACCTGAGTTGTGGCAGCATTAAAGGAAATTCCAATCAACGAGCACAGGCCCAATCCTGCAGCCACAGAGAGTGCAACCAACAAGACTCCTGCCAGCCCCACAGCACCCTGAGACTTGGCACAGTCCCACCGCAGCATCGTTAAACACGCATAGGCAAGCTAAGGAAAGGAGGCAGGGAGGGAAATTTGGGGGAAAAAAACCAAAATATTAGAATGGATCCTTCTCTATTAGCTGTCTCTCTCCACCCACCTACAGTCTTTCACAGAGGTTACAAAGTGGAACAGGTGAGAAGCCTGGGGTAAAGTTTACAAACTGTAGGTTTTATTTTAAATATTTGTAAAATACTCTGGACTACAAACTGGTAACAATAAAGCATATTTTTAAGCCTTGCTCTACTACCAAAAAAAATTAAATAGATTTATTTTATTACCATTAGTAAGTAGCCACTGGCTACTCGGATAGCACTGACATCAGAGAATGACTTCAAGATGTCATCCAGGGTGGTCGTAGTGAAGGAAAGCACCTTCTGAGTAGAGTTTTGTGCAACACTTTGATGAACAACCTATGAAAAGAAAAATAAGACTTTGTGTGAATAAAGAATTTTTTCCTTTTATTTTAGTCATTTAGTCAAAAGAAGTCATTACCATCTTCTACAGAACACATCTGAAATCAAATCTTTTTCCCTTAATGTTGCTGCTAAAGCTCATGCTCTATGCAGACATTACAGTGATGCAGTATAACACTCATGTGTTTCCTGATTTTTTTCTGGCAAGCTGCTGATTATGAGACAGAATTTGCACCCTTCAGGAAAGCCTACTCACTACATGCCCAGCTCACTACAAACACTTGAACCCCTTCCTGTAACTCTACAATGGAGTACCAGTTTTGCATTTAACCCAGGCCAGCCATTTCTTTGCCCCTCCCTGCCTGGCCATTTGGAGAGGTCAGAAATAGCACAGGGTTTGGGACACAGAGGGCAGGCATTGTCACACAGCTTTCTCACGTGGGCTGCTGCTGAAGGAGCAGCCCATGGGTGGCTAATGTTTTCCAGACACCTTTAGAATAATCACACCAACCAAAAGCTTTTAAATTCCAGCTAGCCCTTTGGTTTCTTCTCAGCTCCAACTAAACAAAATTAAAAAAAAAAAAAAACCAAAAAAAACCCAAAACCCACAACCAAACAAAACCCCAAAAAACCAACCAACCAACAACAACAACAAAAAACATAAAAAACCCGAAACAAACAAAAATCCAATACCCAAAAACAAACAAACCCCCACCCCAAAAAACAAAACAAACAATCAAAAAAACCCAAAAAAACAAAAAAAACCCAAAACCCACAACTAAACAAAACCCCAAAAAAACCAACCAAACAACAACAACAAAACCATAAAAAACCCCGAAACAAACAAAAAAAACCAATACCCAAAAACAAACAAACCCCCACCCCAAAAAACAAAACAAACAAACAAAAAAAAAAAAAGGAAAAAAACAACCACACAAAAAAAACAAACCCCAACCAACCAACAAAAGAACTCTTAAAAACAGGGATGCAATGACTCAGTTCTGGTTTAAACATATTCCTTAAGGAAATACTGTAAAAAGTGGGCAGTGGATCTTAGCAGGACTTTATAGTATAGTATCTAAGTTATTTTCAATTTTACCTCAACATACATCCTCTGCCAGGCTTCCAGAATTGCTGCTGCCTTGTCCTCGTTCCAATTGATATGTGAAACATATTCATACCCCTTGAAATGCTCATACATTTGCTTAGGGGTCATTAACTGAAACATGGTTTGCAAAGCCTGGGCACTGTGACATGGAGAGAAGAGAGAGGAGAAAAAGGCGTAAACTGAGCATTTTCAGGAAAATATTTTCATGGCATGAAGTCCCAAAAGCAATTCTAACAGGAGCTGGCTTGAGTTCTTGATTTTATAGGGCACATGCTTGTATTAAAATTGAACAGAGTATAATTATTCTACTGTGTATCTGGTGCAGCTGTACTGCTCCATGCAAGCATTGAGGCTAAATCTGTTTTCACTGAAATTAATAAGAGTTTTGACACTATTTTCAGCAGGATTAGTTTCAGGAGAAAAGAATATAACCCTACAAAGCTGTTCTAAAATTAATGCTTGATAAGACAGATTGCTGTGAGGATGCCACAGGAACAGTTATTTCTATGAGGTCTTGTAAATGCTGGCAAAATGTGATTTGAAGACCTTGGGTTTTTTTTACTGCTTGGGGAGAAGTAGTAGAATATACTCCTCATGCCTAATAAGCTTTGGGGAATACACAAAGGCAATCAATGCTGAATCTCCACGGTATGCAATTCCATCCAACAATTTCAGAAGCTCATATTAATTAACAAGAGGAAGGAACCATTTTCTTTTTCAATAGAAGTGCCTTACTTGGCTCTTTCTTGAGAGACTTACAAATGTATTGTGTGAATGCCAAAAAGGTTAAAAATTCTCTGGAAAAAATTATTCTTCATTTTGTTTAGTAGGGCCTGTATTTTTCAGAACAGTAAATTACACTGTTTTATTCCCCCACTAAAGTCCAGCATTCTACGTCTTCATTCAGAAGTCTAAAACAAAGGGTTTGAGTTTCTTTTACTACTCAAAGCTGTATTAACAATACAGGGACATGAAATAGACTATTCTCTGTATTGATCCTGAATAAAACATTCAGTGGATATTTTGGAATTCTGAGAGAAGTCATGTGAGTTAGTACATTACTCACATTATTTTCTTTCCTTTTTCCTTTGATCATATTTCAAAATCTGATCAAAAGTGTTCAGTGCTTTACGCACTGTTCAATGCTTTACACATACATTCTAAACAACAAAGCTGCCAGTAAAAAGCTTTCTTTCTGACATACACCATCATTCTGAGATGAGAATCAGGAAATGATAATACCACCTTAAACAACAGCCAAAGCATTCTTTTAAATTCTGCTCTCTTGAGATATGTCACCCTGAAGCAAAATTTACAATACATATGAAGGGTAACAGGGTTTGCATCATGCTACTACTGTGTCCCGAAAATGAACCCTAACAAATTAAAACTGACATTTTGTTTAAATATTTTTTACCTGACAAGTTTACCCGAACTGTTCTTGACTGTACCACCTATAATCAGCTCCTCCTGCCAATGCATGTATTTTCTTGATAGTCCATAGCATCCACCACTCAAAACAAGGGCTACATCAAGAGGCTAGAAAAAGTTATAAAGAAGCAGTTAATAGGTTTCATAACTTTATAAACTCATACCTTAATTCAACACACAGTGAACTAGAATCATAGATGTTAAAAACCATCTGGGTAGTCTACTAGAAGAAAGGCACTCAACAAATGAATCCAAGAAATCACCTAGGCGCTTGTTGACCAGATGGCTATTTCTCCAAAGTCTAATGTGACTAATAAAGGGATATATAAATTCAAGGCTCATGACTTTGAATTCATCACAAAAATCAACAAAACTGATGCTACTCGAGGAAAGGCTTTTCTGCATGGCATGGGGGTGCCGCAGCAGCTGTGTTCTAGCAGTGGTTATTGTCTGTCTGAGGCACCAGTTTGCTGAAATGCCACAACACTGCAGTGCCACAGCAACAGCTGACAACTGTACTTTCACCCTAAATGCACAGGATTAAGCATTACACCACACAACGAGGCAAAATCCATGACAGTGAGCTAACAGCAGGTAATAGGAACAGAAAAATAACATCACGCAAGAATACAAGTTATATACTGCTTGGAAGAAAATGGTACTTTCTTCTATTCTGTTTGACCTTCCCCTCCCCAACCTTCCCCACCCCCCAGCCTCCCTTGAAAAGACATGCACAAGGACAAGCAAACTTACTTTGGTGGAATTTTTATTGGGAGCTGTGATTGGGCAATCGGGATCAGCAGGATTCAGGCAGGGTCGATCCATATAACCATGACCAACCTCCGCTTTATTCAGCATTTCTTCCCAGCTCTCCACTTGGTAGTTTATTTTCTTTAACTCTTCCAAGAATTCTAAGGGGTCAAAGTTGATCCACTGCAAAGGAGGCTTCCCTCTGCAAGAACAACCAGGAGAAAAAGACACATAGAAAAAAGACAAAAGAAGTTCCGAAATAAACATACTTTAAAATTCATGTTTGAACAAATAACTGAGTTATTTTCTGCTACAAGTTAAAACCTTTTCTGGTAAGGCTGTTTCATAAAATGTAAGGCAAGCTTTAATTAGATTTTCTTATGTACTTTTCTTGAAGCCCAGTTGTAATTTGAACGAAAACACTTGGTTCTTACAAAGTTATCTTGTAAAACTGGTTAAAAATACTTTCACTTACAAACAAAGCAAACAAATTATCAAGAACCTAAATAACAAAAAAGCAGCCAACTGCTGCTTCAAAGAATTAGGGGGGAGGGGAAAGGGACAGAAGAGAGGGGGCTGAGGAAAGAAAGCCTTTCTCATAGTATCAGATTACTTCTTGCTAGTCTAATAATCATCTTGCAAATGTAATCAATCAATATAACTGATCTTTGTTTATCTGTAACAATACTGTGCTCCTTCAAATGCCCTGGCAGCTTGACTATCAACCATCAAGCCTTCCTGCTACCATGGCTGTCACCACTATCACTGTCACGACTCCCACCCCCCACTTCTGAATTTGTGATGTTGACAGACCAGAAAGGCTTTTGACTGCCTTATTCTGTGGTTCAAACCACACTGTATCTGCTTAACCAGGCTTAAGTCATTATTCTGAATCTCCCAACCAGAAAACACAAACCCCCTTATTTCCCCATCTAAAACTGTACACTAAAGGTTAGAAGATGGCCATTGCAAATTGCTTTTCCAGAGACATGCAAACCAGGACAGAAACAATAACTCAAATGCTAACTCTTGCATAATTAACAGAAAATGCCTGCACAGATTAACAATTAACTCTTTAAAGAACTCAGGACATCTAATATCACACTCGTAAACTGTGAGAAACCACCCATAAAAGATACTATATGGTTTCTTTAATGGTCTCTGAAGCAAAGGATTTGTTCTTTATTCCTCAGGAATACTTGGGAATTAACTCAAGACATTTTCTTAGGTCTAAACTTCCCAGCCAAACAATGTATTTATATTTTATGGGGGAAAAAAAAAATCCATCAGAAACAGCTTTGTTCCAGGGATAAAAAAAAAGGCACAGCATAAAATTCTTTAAACTCCAACTCAGAATTTAGATTTTAATTTGCATGCTAGCAGCACAGGAAAAATAAATGAGGATTTAAATTGAGGTTTACAAATAATCTCATAGAAACAGGTAAACCTTATGTTAAATGAAAAAACAAAATCCATGCATATTTTTTATGCAGAGACACTACATTTCATATTTTATTTTTTCTGTTAAATCAGAATTTGAATAAACAATGGAAATGAAACTGAAACACTGTACACAGTTATATAATTTAAAACATTCAGACAAGAAAGTTATGAAAAAACATCCTTACAATAGATAGGCAGTTCCTGACTGTAGCTTTGCTCCCTCCCAGAAGCAGTCCAAAGGAGTGATAATTAAGCAAGGATAAAGATATTCTATGATCTGTCAAAATCAGAAAGAGGAAAAACACAGTCACGCAAGAATATAATCTATGCAGCACAAGCTGAATCATGAAAATATATAAACCTTGTAATTAAATGCCTGCTACACATACCTGGTCCATGTAACCTGCTTCTGTGATGAGTTCTCCTGATTTGTAACACAAATGTTCCAATTTCCACTGTCTGTAAGAAATATGAAGGACAAATATTTTCTTCTTGCACAATTACTCAGAAGTAATTTTGAAAATGTAACAGATATTTAAAACTGTGACTCATATACACACACTGGCCTCAAGCAGAAAATCATTGAGTAAGGCAAAAGTTATTAAAAATAGATATACTAGACCACACACACACAGGAAAAAAAAAAAAAAGCCTTTATTTCAGATGCTTCCATATTCTCTGTAAAACTCATTCAAAATAAGGGAGATGCCTTTGTACATACAGGCTAGTCAACACACATTTATATGAGGCTGCTTGCGACTTAAGGTATCACTTGGTGACACCAGTAAGAGAAAAGCCACCTCCAGCTCAGAGGACTCAAATATAGTCATTGGACCAAGACTTGTAGAAGAAAATAAACCATTAGGATTCCTGCCTTCCTATTTTGGCTGTATTACAATTTCCACTACGATGGCTTCTAATGACTTAGGGCAGGAGCTTCTAAAAGATAATTAGACACTTAGCAGTAGCTCATGGAGGAACCATCTGGATGTCCTGAAAAGATCTGCTGAAAGACAGGGAACTTTGTGCCTCACAGGCAGGACTCCTAGGTACATTATTGTGTAAGTAGTAACCCTGGCAGAACCATTTTTCAGGGAGACCTCCTTCAATCACTGTAGCAATACTCAGAATGTTTGAGACAAAACATGCTTAGGTCTGATCCTCTACAGTGCCCCCTCAGTCAGTTTGCAGATGAAACCAAGCTGCTACCTTCCTGAGGTCCTGAGGTGCACCATTATTATTTTTCTGTTGGAAATCACGCAACTGCCAACCATCAGTATGGGGCCACAGACATTCTTTAAGGCACAGTCTGTTGTCTATGTTATTTAACAGTTCTTATTCCTCCTGCTAACAATTCCAACACATCTGCATTTCCCTTTACAGCCAAACTATTGGAAGAACACTAGCCTCTGCCACTGTTCAGAGCCATTATGAACCTCATTATTACATTAGCAATTGAATTCAACTCTAATATGGAAGGATTTTCAATGTTACAAATCCTATCCATAAGGTTCTATGTTTAAGACCACAGACATTATACCTTTACCTAAAGAAATGCTGCATGCTGTAGCATGCCTCACGTAACACCACTTGCCCCATCTTACTTGTTAAATGACAATTTATCATAGCTATCACGCCACAGTGTCAAGCTATCAGAAACCAGTGACATTGAAATCAAAACACAGCCCCAAGAGAAAGGCTCAGTAGCACTAACCACTTAAACACATTGAGGAAAGCACATGTCCATTTTTCAGCTACTACATATGATCAAGAAAACTTTTGATTTTCCCCTCACCTGTTGTACATATAGACATGTACTCTGCTGGCCTGAAGTGCAGACTCAAGGTGCTGTCGGAGTGCTTCTGTTGTTAGTACATTAGCACCATCTTCCTGTGGAGTCTGGATCATGAGCTGGGGGTTGAACATGGCCTCTTCTCCAATCTTCTGCCGTGTGTAATTTAACTCCTGACTCACTCGTCCACCAACTGATGGATAAATATTAAGGACTTTATATTAGCCAGTGCCTGCTTATTCTGCATTCTCTTGATGAACACTCTCCAGTCAGAAAACCCCGACTGTGTGCAGGGCCTATTCTTTCTCAAACTGATCACTGTGCAACTCTAAAGCTAAGAACAACTTTTACCATCTCTGAAAAAACACCCACATTCCTCATTACAATACCTTTACTGCTACTGTACTGAAACACTGATGCATAAACTGGAGCCTCTGTTTTTTTCTATATTATAGCCAATATCCCAAGTGTAAAAATTAAAGAAGAGGAAGAAAAAAGGAAAAACTTTACCTGGCAGACCAGAATAAATATTATGTTACAATTTCTTACACTTGTATGTACAGTCTGCTCCAAACGCACATTTCAAGATAATGGCTTTATTTTACACTCTTCTACTAAATAGTTTGGCAAAGATAGAAGGCAAATGTTTCTCTTCGGTTTAAAAAAAAAAAAGTGAGCAGAAGTATTTCTTTCAGCCTTAAAAAAAAAAATGCGAGGTTCATATAAAGAGATGCAGTTTGAGTGTAGCAGAAAGGTCTGTCTACAGCTAATTTACCCCAGTGGCCCAGTACCTGGCTGAACGTGTTGTGATGCAAGAGATTGCTCATGTGCAACATCTGTTTCTAAACCCACATGAGCCTAACGGTGTGCTCCATATTAAAATATGGTGGGGAAAAAAAGAAAAAAAAAAAAAAAAAAAAAGGAGGCAGAGGGACATTGCAGAGTCGACAGGCTCTAGAGGGAGCTATACACAATTTGCCTTGCCAGAAAACATTGCATAAGAATGGAAAACTGTCTTCCCTTCTACAAAAACCCCAGCCAGCTACAGTTCATATACTTCATATAACCTCCCTGTTGTTTCTCTAGCCAATGCATGTGGGAGGCAACGTCAATTAATTTAGCCTATTAGCTGAATCAAGACCACATCCAGATGAGGAGGACAAGAATGTAAATCCAAGCTACAGATCTGGTCTAATTTGTTACATTTTTCTCAGTCCTAGTAAGCTTGACACTGGTGATCTGAATTACTGCCAAAGTTTAGTTTTCAACAGTGTGAACAGAAATTAAGCACATATATTTATTTCTTCCTAGGTCATATAACAGAAGATGGATCCATAACCAGTTGGCAGAGTGGGAGATGAGATTCCTGAGCCTGAGCAGGGACATACTTTTTCAATCACTTGGGCCCTCAACCCACCCGCAACACCCCTGGGGCTAAAACGACCACCAGGCAAGAAGCTGGGCCCCTGCATGCATAAAGCTGTCAGAATGAGACCCTCAACAATTAAACCATACAGACATTCTGGCACGAAGCATTGCTTAATTTCTTGTTCAAGAATTCTTTGAAGAAGTAAGTGTTTCCACAACACACCCAATTTTTTTTCAGCCTGTCACATGTGGGATTACCCCTTTATACCGTGGAACAGAGAAAAGCTCACAGTATACAAAACAAAACAAAACAAATCGAAGTACAGCCTTTTACCTAGAATCCCTTAGAACTTTTTAACATCACTCTTATTACAGTGACAGGACAGGACATACCATCATTGAGACCGCATTTGCATGGTAACAAAATGCTATTGATAATTCTTACCAAGATTTAAACTATAAAAATACTTTCATTCATCAGCCCCAGGTTTATGATCATTGCTGTCTTTCCACAGTATTCCACCAATCAGTAGTCCTTGATACTTGAATTTTACTTCATCTTACAGGAATATGGGAAATAAGGGAGCAGAGTTATCCTAATCTGGATGTCTTGTAACTAGACCTTCCTTTCACAACCCTTTACACTACAAGTGCTTCAAAGATAAACTGACTCTCTCCCTCTTTTGTCTCTCAATGCCAGTCAAGACAATAAAACCCCAATGTTATGAGGACTGGGGAGTCTACCATAAACTTCTGCTCCTGGTACTATATTCTCTCCCATTCCACCCACACTTTCCTTTTGAATTTAACCAGAACTCGAACCAACAAATCCTACTTAATGCAAGACAAAGAGAGTCATTCCCATATCTGCTGAAAGTGACCAACTGTTTACTATCAACAGAGATGATCCCTTCCTAATCAAGGTCCTGTCAAACCATGTTAACTTCACTGAACAAGGCAGATCTAGCTAATCAAAACTGCATCATGCAAGCCAGTCATCAGAACAGAAGCTGTTTTTTTCCCTTTCTAACATTTCAACCAGGAGTAGCAAAACCACCCAAGAAGCTGGGCACGAATTCCAGAACCCATCAGCAGATCTGCTTCACATTCTTCTTAAGGCATTACACCATTTAACTATTCCTTTGATGGGTCCTTTATCTACATTTCTTCAGCCAAACATAGTAAAAGTAACTCCAAATATTGCAAATATTTTATACAATGTAGCAGTCAGGTACAAAAAAAAAAACCAACATAAATGTACATTGACAGAATTTTCATCTGCAAAACCAGGTTATATTAAAACATATGGACAGACCAGAAGCAAGTGAACAAATCAGTGGTCTTTCAACATATTAGGAGTAAAACAGAGGAAAAGGGAAAGAAAAAACAAAAAAAAAAAAGGGAAGCTTTGGCCAATTATGCTGCAATTTATTTAAATTAAAAGTTTGCAAAGATCATTGGAGCCTGCCATACTCACATATCTTCAACCTACACAATCAGAACAATTAGCTGAAGAGGCATTATTTTAAAATCAAGACTCGTTGCTCTTTTTTTTTTCCCAGATTATTCACAAGTAGTACAAAAACTTAGGAGAGACATGACAAAATGTCATGGAAATGTACTAAAGCCACTGTGCTGGATATATATGTATTACCTGCAAAACTCACACATTCTGCAGGAATTCATTCCTTACACTTGTTAAAAAAAAAAAGCATTATCGTCATGATAATATTTCCACACCACAGGACCAACAATATAATGGAAAATATGACTGATGAACAAAATGCTGGTATTTCATGGTTTTCCTTTATGGGCTCTGTTTTCTTCTGCTTGGTGACAGCAATATTTTACACTCAAAATGCTACTAACAGAAATTTTATGTACAGCATACATACCTCCAATTCTATTTCATATCAAAGACAGACAAAGCCATCTCACTTTAATATTCTGATGAAAAAAATCCACCTATCACTGTCCTTCTTTGATATACCAAAAGCCACTTGATGGCATTCTAGTCTTTTATTACATGATTCCTTATGATTAAGTACATAGATGGCTGAGTTAGTGGCAAAAATTCCCATAATCAAAAGATGATTTAAGTAACAGGTCAACGCAGACTCTTATGACTGGTGATTAGACAGTGCAGTGGCTCACACACTACCCTTCCAGCAGTGTCATGGGTGTCTGCCTACAAAAAATGAGATCCAAAAAACAAAAAAAAAAAAGGGAAGCTTTGGCCAATTATGCTGCAATTTATTTAAATTAAAAGTTTGCAAAGATCATTGGAGCCTGCCATACTCACATATCTTCAACCTACACAATCAGAACAATTAGCTGAAGAGGCATTATTTTAAAATCAAGACTCGTTGCTCTTTTTTTTTTTTCCCAGATTATTCACAAGTAGTACAAAAACTTAGGAGAGACATGACAAAATGTCATGGAAATGTACTAAAGCCACTGTGCTGGATATATATGTATTACCTGCAAAACTCACACATTCTGCAGGAATTCATTCCTTACACTTGTTAAAAAAAAAAAGCATTATCGTCATGATAATATTTCCACACCACAGGACCAACAATATAATGGAAAATATGACTGATGAACAAAATGCTGGTATTTCATGGTTTTCCTTTATGGGCTCTGTTTTCTTCTGCTTGGTGACAGCAATATTTTACACTCAAAATGCTACTAACAGAAATTTTATGTACAGCATACATACCTCCAATTCTATTTCATATCAAAGACAGACAAAGCCATCTCACTTTAATATTCTGATGAAAAAAATCCACCTATCACTGTCCTTCTTTGATATACCAAAAGCCACTTGATGGCATTCTAGTCTTTTATTACATGATTCCTTATGATTAAGTACATAGATGGCTGAGTTAGTGGCAAAAATTCCCATAATCAAAAGATGATTTAAGTAACAGGTCAACGCAGACTCTTATGACTGGTGATTAGACAGTGCAGTGGCTCACACACTACCCTTCCAGCAGTGTCATGGGTGTCTGCCTACAAAAAATGAGATACCATGCCATTGGTGTGATTTAGCTACAATTTTTTTAAGGAAAAAAAAAAACCCACAGCAAAGCAGTAACACCAGTGTCCTGGCATTATTTTGCATTTAATGTATCTGTTTCTAATTCTCAAGGATGTATTTGAAGGCCATTGCTCAACATGAAACAGTGTAACTGACACAATCTCTACTGCTGAGGGTCAGTTATTATTAAAAAGCTGGTTTTTTTCCAAAGAGGAGAGTGTCTTCCTCCTCCCCACCCTCTCTGATATCCACAGTCTTCCCTCTTACCTCTTTGCCAGAACACTCCAGATCTGCCTTGAGCAAGTCAGCAGCCTACACCATGACACTGCTGCTCCTCCTGAACCTCCCCACCAACTGGAACAGAAACTAGTCAAGGTAATTTGCACTAAGTCTGGTGCATAACACTGATACACCCTTCAATGATGTAAGAGTAAGACTGTGATTGTTTTCATTGGCACAATTTTTGACACATTCCTTCCACTGACTTAGTACCCATTTTGAAGTTCCTGTGTCATTCAGCTTATGTGCTCATTCCACTGAGGATGTCAGTCCTATCTACGCCTTTCTCACAACCAAAGTCAAAATTTACATGGCATTATATTAATATGCTTATTAAGAAGTCTGGAATCCATCACTGCAGTCCCTTCCACACCAAGTAGCCTGAGGAATAAATTTGACCTCTGTCACACTTACAGATCAATGCTAGATCAAGCCAACACAGCCAGAAGTCACTGCTTATTAATTTACTGTCCAGTGGCTCTGAAGGCATTAAATACTTATTT